TATTATTGAGCAACTACCATACCAGCTAAAATTCTTTGCTAAACCTTTCAATGGCGTTATAAACAAGTTTAACAGTACAATAAATATGGATGTAATCCCCGTTTGTAGAATTTTGTACATCTTTTGCTTCAATATCTGTGCCGAAGTTACTACTTCAACGATCGTTAAAAAAATACTCTCATATCAAAATGCACAAATAAAGGTACCGATAAATTGTACCGCAAAATGTTTGAACCGAACAAATTTGTATTATTATTTATTGCTTCCAACAGTTCCAGTTTGCTTATTATAACAAATTATTTCACTTTAAGATAGCAAAAACTTAACAAAAATGAAAAACCATTATAAATTCAAAATAATTTTGTATGTCAGTTAAAGTTATACTACCGATTGCAAATATATACTTAGAAAACTATCTAAGTAAAGCTTTTTTCATCAAATGCGCATTAAAAATCAAATATTATAATTTCTACAGATCACTCATTTATCAAAAATAATGAAATTTATAAATTGAATGTATCATATTCTTTTAACGCCTTTTCACAAGTCAAAATAAAAATTAATTGAGGAACAAATACCATAAAAATTCTAGAATTACACATCAAATTGTGTTTCAAATCAATATGCAACAGTTATACATTTATAAATTAGTTTATTCATCATACTAGTATATTCAAACATTCGACACCAAATAAAAAAATCTCATTATGGCTCATTTTTTGTAATACAACTTTATATTGTAAAATATGAAATTACTTATTATTTATTGATTAATAAATAATTACTTTTAGTCAAAAACAATCTATGCAAACAATGTGTAAATAGTAGTTTCAAAATAAATTGCGTTTAATTTTTTAATAAATGAATATAAATCTAATTAGTTTCTAGTAATAAAATAATATAAAGACTACAGGGGAAATTTAGAAGTATTTTTTTTTTTAAATGGGGATTTTCGTGTCATAAAATTTGATGAAGTACCGCTACGACAATATACGTTTTTAAACGTATATTGTTCTTCAAATTAAAAAAAAAAAATTCCATCCCGTTTCCCCTTAGTACACTTAATATATAAAAAAAATAAGATTTGCATAGACTAGCTTTTGTACTATTATGTAAAACAAATACTTTAAAAAACAAAAAAAAATGTACACTAATTAAACTCACGCGTTAATAAAATGGGGTTTTTTTGTGGATACCAACCCCCTTCCCTTGTAAACATTCTAAATAGTAAATAAGTGTAAAATATAATTTTTCGTCCGCACTATCTACATTCTAGGCGTTTAAATTAACATACATGAATGATCTTAATATACTTAACCTACCTAATTATTATATAATTAAGGTGTACTTTATATATATTTCTAAGAAAATGTATAAATACATGAAGGTTTTATGTAATAAAACTATAGTCACGCATTTGGGCTAAATGCTAAAATTGCATTAGCAACGAAAATTCAGGGAACTTCATACAACACACATACACGATATAATACAATATAATAATACTTGTATTGCAACCAGAGGTTACTGGCGGTCTCATGGAGCCTACGTCTACACACAATAATAATACGGGATTTTGGTTGCAATCATTCAGTTGTTACTTAAAACGCTGACAAATATTTCATTAAAATACAGAAAAATTTTACTTTCAAGTACCAACAAAAAAATTATAAATATAGTCGCTATCATGGTCTCCTGGAGATCGCTAGCAACTTAATGTCAACAAAGTATTGCAAAACTAAATATAATAAAATTTAATTGTTATTTCTAGCTTGTATAGAAAATTATGAAAATATACACGATATACGTGACCATGAACATGACGTATTCAAAAACACTGTCGACACTTAAAATAAAAGAAAAGTACAAACTACGTTTAATAATTACTACCAATATTTATATCAAAATGTGTATAAAATATTATAAAAAAAAAAAATAATAATAATAATAACCAAATACCGTAAATGAATAATTAGAGAAACTAAGTATCAAAAATAAAGAAAAAAATTGTTTAATCGGCTTGATTTTTGTATGAAACAAATTCGGTATACAATAAATGAGATAAAATATAACTCTTTTGGATGTAATGTCAAATATTGTAATTAGTTAATTTATAGCGTTTTCCACAAAACACGCCTTAAGAAAACTCTAGGGTGAAGTGCAAAAACGTAAATAAGTAGTCTAGAGATGTTGGGAGTATTTCTATTAAAAATAATCGTTCCCAAAAAATATGATATCCTCTTAATCAATAAACATTGACCTAGGTTACAATGGATGGGTCTGCATAATAAGTTATCATTTAATAATAATTGTTTAGTGTTAAGATGGAAAACGCTAATAGTCAACTGCATTATAGAAAAAAAAATGTAATTATGAAGGCAACTAATAGACGTTGTTCTATCTTCAGATGTATCCCATTTTTTTTTTTACGCGTTTTTGTTATGTACTTTTTTTTTAGTCAGATTAAAATCTTCTACGGTCCTGGCCATTACGTCTGTCAGGACCCCACCTTCCGCCCCTGTCTCCTCTAGGGCCATTGTCGAAAAGGCCTGGCGGCGGCAATACTCCTTGATTGTCACGTACAAAAGTTTCCACAAACGGCGTTGAATCCTATCAGTTATCAAATCAATCAACGCATTCAAAGGGAATTAGTCAAGTAACAATTAAATTACCTAATTAAAATAAAAATATATAAAATTAAAAAATATGAGTTTTTCAAGTAGAAGTTTTTTTCTGAAGTCACTGGTTGAGTTACTGATAAGTGATAACGTAGACATTAAACAAATATACATGAAATGGATAATTTTTTTTTACCATACGTATATATCAGGATTGTTATACCTCACCAGTTTAAGCATAGCTATTACATGTTGTGTAATAATTCATGTATTAATAATTTCATAATAACCAACAAAAAAAGTCTGAAGTGGACACCAATGCACTAAAAATGACTTATATTGCCTAACAATTTATAATATTTCCTAATTTTTCTTCGAAATTCTGATTAACTACATTACATGCAGAAATAATATTTTAACGCGCTAATTTTATCAGTTACGTATCCAAAAATGTAAACACCATGACTTGGTTAATTTTTAGACTCTTATCGATTTATTATGAAACACGCATATGACCATTGATTTTAAAATACAGATATGAGGTGCTATACATAACAACAGCAATAGATCTGCATAGTTTGTCGCTGTATAGTACTACTATCTGTATCTTTTAAAATCACCGATATTATACAACACACATTCATTAATGTGTTCAAAATTTTAATGCTGAAATTAATGCCCAATACTATCTATACTCGCCACGCATTAACAACATCAACAGATCAGCGATCAAAATTCATAGGCTGGCTTATTGGTTTACAAAAAAATACCACCGCTATCCAAAGACAGTGCACAACTATGGTGAGGTTGCGGGACGAGACCTGTGCGACTAGTCATGTGCAGCGAGTAAAGACAATAATAGCAATTGATAACCAATATAATATATTGACAGTTGTTTTACTTAATTGGCACAGATTAATTTGTCAGTTGGTCGTTTTACTGTAGTAAATCATAAATAATAATAAAGAATAAAGCATTTCTATTAAACAAAAGTAAATTATTCAAAATATTATTGAATAGTAACTATAAACTATATAGTATTGAAAATATTGCTATAACTGTATTCTTGGTATGGTGTTTAAAACTTTATGTTGGTATAAAATGTTTCATTTATATTTTATTAGCACGATGTAAACGTAGGGATTAAAAAAAAAATAGATCTACAAATAAACAACATTGAATGTCGAATAGTATTGGACGAAATCGAATATTAAATAATTTATCGAATCATATGTTTTCGTCAAATAATAACTCCCTTTTTTAAATAAATAACCAACAATAATAAATAATTTGCCTAATAGAATAATAAAAACCGAATAAAAAGAAACAAAATGAATTACAAATAATTTTGTCACAACTCATAAATAATTTAAAAAAATTAGGTAATTTTTTTATTTATAGCTTCATATTTTTATTAAAAAAAAGTTTTATTAGTTTAGTTTGTTTTCATTCATTATTTAACAGTTATACATAACTCCTTATATTATAAATGATAGTAATAATACCAGAATTAAACCTTCCTGTTAAAAAATTCTAACTTTTTGAAATTGTATGAAAACTTTTAAGAAGATACAGTAAAAAGTTCAGTTTTGGTGACACCAAATGACAATACTTATATACTTGTAATAAGAATAATATTGATTTGTATATATATAATACATAGCTTATCCAGAAATAATGAAATTACAAATAATAATGCTTTTCATTTTATATTGTAACAAAATACAACTTAACTGAAAATATTTGTTTACAATTACATTCATACTATAAATTTACTCCCTTAAGTTTTTAGAGGAAGTTAAGTTCTAGAAACTTATGAAAATCAGTTCAGTATTTAAATAATAATATATTATCATTTGAATAACAAATGATATCTCTAATTCTAAGAGATGTCTTGAAATTGAAATTTCAACTTAGAATTTGGTTATTTAAAATAACTCTTTTGTGAGGTATTCTAGTTTTAATAAAGTTTTTAATCAAGTCAATACTATTTTCTATCTTTGTGTTTTAAATTGTGATATTTTTATCAACAAGGGATATATTATAGTTGTTTATTAATAAATTTTTCTTAAAGAGCAGAGATGTCCTTAAGACAATTGCATAAACTTTCACTTAGACTCAATGAATCAACACTGATATTTAGTGGACTTTGATTGGTCCATGAAATTTACCAAAATCATATTTTTCGATATATACGCTTTCACTTTGGTGCTTTAACTGAACTTTGTTCACGTTAAGTATTTTTTAAATTGAGTAAATCATATATGCCATTAGAGATCTACATCTACTTTGGCCCCTCTTTAAATATACACCTTCCAATATTTTTAAAATATGTCTAACTATTAAATATATGGGAATAGAAATTAATAATTGGTACATTACCATTCCTTGTGCTGTAAAAAACAAAAAAGGTAAAAATTAATTTAAATGTTATTAATAAAAATTAACAGTTAATCGAATCATTACCAGTCATAGCTTCTAGTTCACGAACAGACATGCCTTCGACAGGTGCAGGCGGTCCATCAAATCCTGGTTTGCCTGGTCCTCCTCTGTGGTCCTTAGTAATAAAAAAAAAAAATATATATAATGTGAAAAATACTTTAAATATCTTTTATTTCAATAAGATCTACTTCATTTAAAGAGGTCGCCGAAAAAAAAAACTAGCTTTTCACAGTAACCAAGTAAACTAGAGCACAATTTGGCATTTAAAATTAACTCTTATATCCTATAGTTAAATTTCTAATTATTTTAAAATGAAATAAATGACCAGTACCAATTTTAGTCTTAATCTTTAATTTTACAAACTTGTACTTGGACTTTCTCAAGAAAACTGCGTTATAAAGGTTGGAAAAGAATTATGAAATAGTAAATACTAATAATGATTTTTCATTGCAACGCTAATATTAGAGTATGCAAAGTTAATGTTGAGTTTAACTTAAAAAAAATACCCCCCTTATATCCTCCTCATAAATAAATAGTGTAGTTTCCACAGACAGCATTTTAGGACTGAAGAGTGGGATAGACAAGTGTTACTACAATACAAACATAAATTATCAAATAATTAAACCCTTGTATTATCTTACTTGCATAAAAGCAGAATTATCTTGTTGACGTCTCCTCAATTCTTCATCCTGATGATGAATTCTCATAGCAAGATCATCGGTTTGCCTCCTAAACATGTCTCCTTCTCGTAGCCTTTGATCTTCAGCTTGACGTTCTTTCATTTCCCATTCCAACTTTTGGCGTTCCCGATCCATTTCACGCTGACGCAATTCTAAATTAATAAACTTATATTAAAACTCATGTTTAGGAAACATTTTTAACAGTATGCATTACGTTCTCGTAACATTTCAGTTTCATGTTCATAACGTGCATATTCCATTTGAGCTTCTAATTTTTCTTCTTCTAATTTCATTTCACGTTTCAAAGCGTCTTCTTTTTGTTTGTACAACTCTGATAATTGTTTCCAACGAGTACCAAATTCATACTCGAAAGAACTTGGATCAGCAAATCTAGGTCCTGCTTCTCTTTGTTTTTTGAATTCAAGCGTTTTTTTTGGAAGTAATTTATCAGGCAAGCCATCAGAAGTATCAACAAATTCATATGGCTCAACAATACAAGGCTTCAAAGAACTAAAATAGAAAAATTAATAGATTATACATAACAAATTTAATATGCCGGTTCTATAATTTGTAACTCAGAACTAATTAGTCTACACTGCATACCTTGTTAAAAAGAAGCAGCCTTCTGAACAACGTCTTAATGCAGCAGCAGCAGCATTTTTTCGAGAAAATTCAACAATTCCTTCACCAGTTGAATTGCCTCTTTCATCAACCATGATTTGGCATCGCTCAATCTAAAAAACAATAAAGAAAAATACATTTTTGATTTGAAATAGAAATTTTATTAGAACACTTACTTCTCCAAATATTGAAAATGCGTATTCCAAAAGCTCATTGGAAACAAATGGCGTTAAATTCTTAACTTTAATAGCAGCAGCAATGGGAGCAAAACGAATTTTCAACATACGACCTTTGCGCATTTGTCCATCAAGTTCTCTTTTAGCTTTTTCAGCATTTGCACGGTAATCCTGTTAAAAAAAATTATTACTAGCAAATTTCATTTATTATGACAATCTCTAGTTTATTAAAACGTGAGTTAACTATGAAGATTAAATTAAATAATTTAAAGATGTTATTTCTCAGGAAAAACTATTATTACAGATTTTACATATAATTACCAAGCGAACAAACGCAAACATTTTCTCTTTATTCAAGAAATTTTCTGAAACCTCTCCATAAGGTTTGAACATTTCTGCTAATTCTTCTTCGCTACATTCCACTAAATTTCCAATATACAGACGGCACTGGCTTAAAAATTTTCTTTCTTTATTATCATTAACTGGAAGTTCATGAGTGGGCCCCATAATTTGCATCAGTTTTTCATTCCACATGTTCTAACAAAAATAATAAAACATGTACACATTACAGTTATTTACATAATATACGCTGATAACTATTTTAATACTATATTGTGTTTTTGTAAAATAAAATAAAATAAAATCCTAGTTCAAACTTACATCAGCTCTATTGGATCTATCGCCATCACGGTTTGGTGGTGGGCCTCCTCTGAAGCCACTACCACCGCCACGTCTACCTCTTCCACTTTCATTAGGGTTACGATTACCCCTATTCATAATTTCATTATCTTGGTTATTATTTCCATGAACATCATTACGGAAGTCTCCTCTAGGCTATATAAAAAAAAAAAAAAATTAAATAAAGTTGAATTACAACACAGTATTTATATACAGTTAATGATGTGAATAACAAAAATTAATATGACCCAAGTTTTTACTAAAACAAAGAAAAAAAAAATAAAGCAAACAAAACATATATAAAGCGTAAACATATTTTTTTAGGAGACTACTGTACATATAATCGATTTTCTTTTTCGTTCATCTAAAACAACCAGATTGATTCATTACCATACTCAAATTATTATAATTTGGTAACTTCCAGATTATTTAAATATTTATTTATTTTATAAATAACTATCTGAATATCGCTACTTTTGTTACTACAGGTAATGATTCAAATCAAAATAGTAAAATAAGCGAGTGTAAGAATACAATAAGTAATTATTACATCCTTTTATGTATTAAATAAATTGTATCCAATATGTCGACACACTTAAGAAATTATTCTTAGTGCTTCCTAAAAAGATTTTTAAATTTGATGTTCCCTATTATTTCAATTAATTAAATTGGCACAATAATACACAAATATACAGTATTAAAGCGTGGCGATGGGGTTGCAATTCATATATTATTTATCTACCTATTTCTTGCTTTTCTGAAACATATTGTTAAAAATAGTAGTTGAATCCCACATTAACATTTCCAAAATAAATTAAATATTACTAGGTAAATAATATGTTAGTTAAACATATTAATAATATTATACTTTTTATCAATTTCACCAAAACCATTTTACGCTCTTGTCAGATTGAATGAATTTGATATCATGAAGTATCAAAGATCTTGGTGGTATTCATGAATATCATCATTTTGAAGCAGTAAAAGGAATGATAACAATAAATATTTAAAAACTATAAAATTACAAATATTTTATGACCCTTTATTATTATAATAAATATATTAGTTGACTTCAGAGGTGGGTGGTGATAAAACAATTGTCATCAATGATAATCAGACCAATTTGATAAACTTCTCATCATTATAAGTATTAAAAATTTTTGTAAATCTTAATATTTGAATTAGAAAATTTTAACGTAATAATACAAATATCTTAAGTATTAGTGTTGTTATAATACTTTATTATTTTTTTAATTTCTTCAGATAGGAGCGAAAGACAATTGCATATATAACTTTCATTATTAATTCAAATGAACTATGTTATCATCATTGCAGCAATTACACAATATGTAAATTCTAAAGTGAATATGTATTTATAAATATAAATAATATAATATATATGTATAAATAAAATAATAAATATATATATATAAATAAACCCTAAATATCCGCTACCAATGTTACTATAGGTAACGTTTGAAATCAAAATAAAGTGTTAAGTAAAATGAGTGAGTGTAAGAATACTAGTGAGTAACTATTGCATCCTATTAATGTGTTAAATAAATTGTATCCAATATGTCGACACACTTAAGAAACTATTCTTAGTGCTTCCTAAGTGGATTTTAAAATTTTATTTCCCCTATTATTTCAATTAATAAAATTGGCACAATAATACTAAAATAAATTGTATTAAAGCGTGGCGTTAGGGTTGTGTTACAAATATTTTACCAAGTTCTTTCTTTCTTCAACATAATATGCAAGAATAAGTAAGTTTTCATTAATATTAATTATACCCCACATTGACATTTTTAAACCAAGTTAAATTATTAAGTATTAATTAATAAGCTGTATCCAATTTGTCGACACACTTAAGAAACTGTTCTTAGTGCTTCCTAACAGGATTTTTATGTTTTATATTCCCTAATATTTCAATTAATAAAATTGGCACAATAATACACAAATATACAGTATTAAAGCGTGGCGATAGGGTTATAGTATACACAATTTTTATAATTTTATACAAGTTTATTCAGATAGGAGCGAAAGACAATTGCATATGTAACTTTCATTATTAATTCAAATGAACTATGTTATCATCATTACAGCAATTACACAATAAGTAAATTCTAATGTGAATATTTATTTATTTTATAAATATCTGAATATCTGCTACTATTATTACTACAGGTAACATTTCAAATCAAAATATTAAAATAATGGAGTGTAAGAATACATTGAGTATTAAATAAATTGTATCCAATATGTCGACACACTTAAGAAACTATTCTTAGTGCTTCCTAAGTGGATTTTAAAATTGTATTTCCCCTATTATTTCAATTAATAAAATTGGCACAATAATACTAAAATAAATTGTATTAAAGCGTGGCGTTAGGGTTATATTTGATATATTTTACCAAATTCTTTTTTTGTGTAAATTCTAAAATTGTATATCTGTCACTACATGTATACAAGTTATAAAAACAAATATTTTGATTAATTAATTGTTTTTAAAAAGAATTATTTAATTTTAATCGAATACCTACCAAGTGAAACTATATAATGAGTAACTATTTCAGAGGTGGGTGGTGATAAAACAATTGTCTTCAATAATTTTCAGACTAATATGTTAGACAATTCTCATCATAAAAAAGTGATAAATATTTGCTTAAGAGTTATGTATTAAATAAATTGTATCCAATATGTCGACACACTTAAGAAACTATTCTTAGTGCTTCCTAAGTGGATTTTAAAATTTTATTTCCCCTATTATTTCAATTAATAAAATTGGCACAATAATACTAAAATAAATTGTATTAAAGCGTGGCGTTAGGGTTGTGTTACAAATATTTTACCAAGTTCTTTTTTTTTTTCAACATAATATACAAGAATAAGTAATTTTTTATTAATATTAATTGGACCCCACATTGACATTTTTAAACCAAGTTAAATTATTAAGTATTAATTAATAAGCTGTATCCAATTTGTCGACACACATAAGAAACTGTTCTTAGTGCTTCCTAACAGGATTTTTATGTTTTATATTCCCTAATATTTCAATTAATAAAATTGGCACAATAATACACAAATATACAGTATTAGAGCGTGGCGATAGGGTTATAGTATACACATTTTTTTAATTTCTATACAAGTTTATTCAGATAGGAGCGAAAGACAATTGCATATGTAACTTTCATTATTAATTCAAATGAACTATGTTATCATCATTATAGAACAAAAATCAATAGGTACAATTAAAATTTTTCATTATCTTGAGTTTAATGTTATTCGTTTTCATTTATCAATATGCTTAACCACAAAAACTCTTGTTTTAAATAGCAGTCTAGTCAAATAAATTTTCATTAACTTTGTTAAATATTGCAAATGAACTATGATAACATCTCATAAAAACATGAAAAAAATGTATCACTATTAAATGACTAGTCTACTAGCCACATGATTTATTTAAAAATGGTAAATACTTTGTTTTCTACTTCAGTGGTGGGTGGTGATAAAATAATTGTCATCACCTTGTTCAAGATAATTAGATTAAATTAACATCATTAGTAAGAAAACATAATATATATTTAATTTTAACTAATATTAAGAATTACAATATTATCATGCTTTCTTGTATAATACTTTTTCTAATATTTTATTCAATGGAATAAATATAAGATTATACTCTTCCAATAAATTGTATGATTTCAAAATTACTATTTTATAAGACTAAAACACATATGATGTCAAAAATTTAATGGTTTTAAAATTAACTTTTAGGTTAATTTAAATGTTTAAAAGTGTTCATGTTATAGAAGATAGCTCTATAGTTAAATTTGCTTTTAAACTTAACTCATGTTTCATATAAGAGCAAAATACATTAAAATATTGCTCACTATCATAAAAACTCAAATTTAGTATGTTTTTGTCAAAGAACATGATTATTAACAAATTAAACGTAATATAGATAGATATCATGTTTTTTCACTTAATAGCAATATAGATATCAAATATTTAATATAACATATTAAGATAACAACATAATTAATAAAAATAAATTTTTCTCTTTCACAATAAATTCATATGGTTATAGTAAATGCTTCATCAGATTGAATGAATTTAATATCATTTAGTATCAAAGATCTTGGTGGTATTCGTAAATATCATCATTACTCAGCAGTTAATATTTTTCATTACAGGGATTTGTTTACTTTCAGAGGTGGGTGGTGATAAAATAAATGTCGTCAATAATTATCAGACCAATTTGATAAACTCCTCATCATAATTTAGAAAGTGTTGAATAAACATTTACTATAAAACAACAGATCTGCTTAGCTGAGGTAAGTGTCAAGTTTTATAAGTAAAAGTTGCAACATTTTATTAGGGTAGGATGACCATTTATCCTCGAAAAATCCAGGACGTTACTAGTTTTGTAGAATTACATCCACAGTACACAAAAAAATATGGTAACAATAGAAGAACATTTTTTTTAAATATTTATGACAATGTATAAACTTGCATTTAATTACTTTGTATTTATGTTATAAGTATTCTTTGTTGAAAATAAAAATACACTCTCATTTCATAATTTTAATATTGAGTATTTTATATTTTATAACAAAGATAACACGTACAAAATGATAAGAAAAAGTACAGGAATAGGTTAGCAACAAGTAAGAATTTGTCATGGATTTTTTTAAAATTTAATCTGGCCTCCAGATTAAATTAGAGCTACATTAGAGTATAAACCTAATGACAATAATACAAAAAAAAAAACTATTTTACTTTATGAAAACTTTGCGCTTTTATCAGATTGAATGAATTTGGTATCATTAAATATCAAAGATCTTGGTGGTATACATAAAAATCATCATTATAAGCAATAGGTAAATGAATGGTAATTTTTTTTTTTTTTTTTAACCAAGATTTTATAACTTTGATTATTATTATAATAAAGATATTATATGATTTCAGAGGTGGGTGGTGATAAAAATATTGTCATCAATGATAATCAGACCTATTTGATAAACTTCTCATCATTAATAATTATGTAGTAAATAAAACTTTTGTTTAACATTTAAGTATTAAATAAACTGTATCCAATATGTCGACACATTTAAGAAACAATTCTTAATGCTTCCTAAAAGTATTTTTATATTTAATATTCCCAAATATTTCAATGAACAAAATTGGCACAATAATACCAAATTATATAGTATTAAAGTGTGGCGTTAGGGTTGTGCATTATATGTTTTACTGTTTATCTACTCACTAAGAGTATTTTTACTTGAATATTAATTAGAACATATTATTATTTAATAGACAATTATAAATATTAATTAACTGTATCCAATATATACACTCTAAAAATGATTTTGGGTGCTTTCTAAGCCGAAAACTACGTTTTGTTGTCTTAATATTTTAATAAGAAAAAAATTAACGTAACAATATCTACAAATATCTTAAGTATTAAAGCGTTGTTATAATACTTTATTTTTTTTTTAATTTCTATAAAGTTTCTTCAGATAGGAGCGAAAGACAATTGCATATATAACTTTCATTATTAATTCAAATGAACTATGTTATCATCATTACAGCAATTACACACTAAGTAAAATCTAAAGTAAATATTTATTTATTTTATAAATAAATATCTGAATATCGCTACATTTGTTACTACAGGTAATGATTCAAATCATAATAGTAATATAAGCGAGAGTAAGAATACAATAAGTAATTATTACATCTTATATATGTATTAAATAAATTGTATCCAATATGTCGACACACTTAAGAAACTGTTCTTAGTGCTTCCTAACAGGATCTGTATGTTTTATATTCCCTAATATTTTAAATAATAAAATTGGCACAATAATACACAAATGTACAGTATTAAAGCGTGGCGATAGGGTTATAGTATACACAATTTTTATAATTTTTATACGAGTTTATTCAGATAGGAGCGAAAGACAATTGCATATGTAACTTTCATTATAAATTCAAATGAACTATGTTATCATCACTATAGAACAAAAATAAAAAGGTACTATCTATTTAAATTCTTCATACCATGTGTTAAATTTTATTTAAAAATGATTGCTAATCTAAGTATTTTACATGATATAATATTATAAGGTATAATTTTACTTTACCGGGCACTCTTTTTATAGGTCAGAATTAGGCGGATTCCTTAGTTTAAAAGTTATAGCTTCATGACATTTGCATATACCACGTGTATAATAATATGCAGCAGGGGTCTGTGGCTGCCCCTGTATCTGCCAGCGTTGCGATGTAAGAATAAATTAGATTAGGACGCAGACGCTTCAAGAGTGATAGGCTAGGTTAGTTTATTCCTTTAGGCTAGCTGTTTTTACCACTAGGGAGATGTTTGGAGATGTAAGTCCACATCCAAAGAAGAGTCTTAAGAGGATTGAATTGGCTCTAGAAGTCGGCAGTCGTTTTAAATAGTTAAGGATTCACCAATTTAAAGCTTTAAAAAAATTATATTGTTGTTTTATACAATATTGATATTTCATAATTGATAATATTATAATAATAAAAATGAATAGTAACTAAAAATACTTTAGCAATGTACACTCGGGTCGCTGACAAATGTAAGGTACGGCGGCGGTCGTAGCTGCCGTGTATTGTTACACTCGCGTAAATATGCTCTAGTTATGTAAGTTAGTTTAAGAATGGGGTATAAAATCCTATTTGTCATTTTAACTCTAACCGAACCTATCAATTGTAAAACTCCACGTTTACTGCACAACAATTCAGCCGTTGGATACACCGGTGCGTTTCGTTTTTTATTATAATTACAGCTCTAAAAATATGTATAGTTACCGCATTATTATCTCTAGGACCCTTCTGGTCTCGATTAGGTCCTCCCCTGTAAGGCTGGAAGCGATTTCCTCTTCCACCGCGACCACCACCACCCTGAAATTCAGGCTTAACCTTGTGGTTTGTAGCTGGGGTGTTCTGATTCACATTATTAGACGTATTCAATGACGTATCATTTTTCTTCTCTTCTTTAACTTGTGCCATGTTAGATTTATTTAGGAACCGACTAACTTAGTGAACGTTAAAACACAATGTTTGATACGACAATTCGTGATGCCTAACAACAAGAACTATGTATATTGTAGACGTAAGCGTCAAACGAGAGACGATGACGACAAAGACGCAGAATAGAAAATGGCCGACCGCTAGAAAATGTTTGAGTATGTCATGACTCATGAACGAATATTCCGTTACTAGGAAAAGAGTAGGGAGGAGACGCCGTTTCTGAACAGTGTAACCAAACGATAACCTAAAAAAACGCAAGAACTCATGTCACACCTTTTTATACATTTTGATAAAGCTGTTTCTTACAACATAGTTATTATCATGAAATGTAAATCATAACTAATTTTCAAATTTCTGTGTAGGTTTTTTATGAATAAAAATAAAAGCATACATAGAAAAATTGAAACATGAGGTAGTATGTTGTATTATGTGTGTATGAAGTATTGAATTTATTTATTTTCATGATAAATATTATATAGTTCCATACCTTATACTGTTAAACGCATATCAATATATCGTTGACGCTATAAATTATTCATTAATTTGTCTTCTCTTTAAATGTAAATCTTTCAATTATTTATCACGTGTTGTAATTATATCGAAACTGGAAACAATAAAAAACTACAAATTATTATTTTATAAAATCGTTTTATACGATAGACAAAAATATATACTAAATTTGTACGTTATTTCACGCCTTATCACTTCGGTCACACTGACGAAGATTCTAGAATTTTCCAAAATCAGTAATATTTTACCATGAGACTATGGCTAAAATAATGTAGTGTGCTGTGTTTGCTTAATTTTGAAATTTTTGATCGGGCTAATATTTTATAAGCTCCTCTAGAGACTAGAGATTTTGTGTATTTATTCATATATTAGTATTAGTACTAGTATTTCTTTTACGATTTTTACCAGTTGGTTAAAAACGTATGATAATATTTTTAATGATTATTTATTATTTTATTTCCGTTTGCTTATTAATTAATATTTATCCAACAACGTGAATTACAAAATCTAAATTTTAATAGGTATACTGTTTTGCAGATGGCCAAATGGGGAGAAGGAGATCCACGTTGGATTGTAGAAGAACGGCCTGATGCTACAAATGTTAACAATTGGCATTGGTAAATTTATATTATGTTCTAATATCTGATTAAATTTAAAAAAGTTAAATAGGTAAGAAATGCGGTAGACTGTGTTCATATGTTTTTAAGTTTTCATACCCATTAATCTTGATTCAAATATTCAGTTACATTAAAATGCAGTACAAAATTACTATATTAACCCTGCAACGAAAGAGTGGGGTGAATACGGCCCCATTTCATTTATAATTTTGAGTACTACAGTAGTTCTAGAGACTTATTATTTTTAGAAAATATGTATTGTTGTATGTATTAATCTGGAAATTGAAAAATTCAATCTCGACACCCTTAAAACATTAATTAATAGATAAATATTTTTTTTTGTGAAGCAAATTGTTAGTTCTTTAAATATATTTTATAGGTATGTGTCATTTGTATTTTTAATGGTAATTTTATAATACATAAATATTATTGAAATACTATGGAATATATTCAACCTTAATAGTGTATTAACTTGACATAACCATAAGTATTTTTTTGTTTAAGGAGAAAGTGAAAAATTAAACAATTATTATTTGTTATTTTACATTTTAAAATATTTATGCATTTTATTATATTCTGATATTTTTTAGGACTGAAAAAAATGCATGCCAATGGTCAAAAGAAAAATTGAATTCCTTATTAGTTGGAATGGTATTAGAAAACGAAGTGGCAAAATGTGAAATAAATAAAATTGATAGTTGTGAAGGAGAAGCTGTTGCAAATAATAGGAAAGGCAAGTTGATATTCTTCTATGAATGGGATTTAACATTGTCATGGAAAGGATTTTTGAGTGGTTCTGATAAACAAATAGAAGGCTCGATCAATGTACCAAATTTGAGTGAAGAAAACAGCATATCTGAAATTGAGGTATGATTTTATTAGTTAAACAATTTAATTTAAAAAAATAGTGGTGTATGTAGAAAAAAAATGAGTCCTTCCTTATGTCTTTTAATGTTTATTTCTCCTATCATAAACCAAAAATTATTACAAGAAGGCCTACAGCGGTATTGTTCCTTTAAAAAAAAAATTAATTATAATACATTCAGTCATCAAATAGTTTTTGTGAGGAGTTGTTACATTTAAGGCTATTTCTTAAATAATTCTGAATATTGTTGTATACCTAGTCATTTTAGCTTCGATGCGGAGTTGAGAAGGTATTGTTTTACAACAAAGTGTTTTTATTTTTTTTTGTGTTTGGACCCACAATATCTTCTAAAACGCTGACCCGATTTCTTCATGTAGCAACTCCATAAATCAAAAATTGTATAATATGTAAAAATCTTTATTGGGCCTCTTCCCCTGCAAAATAAAAAAATGTATAATTTTTCAACTTTAAACTATAGTGCTCTATACATTTTTAAAAAATGGTCAAATTAGTTCCAATTTTTATGGAATATTCTTAAGACATAGTACTACTGATAAATGTTGACAAAACAAAATAATATCTTAAACCCTTCCCCCTAGGCGGGGTGGAAACTTCTACTTTATTACGCTAGGTGAAGCTTTAGGGCTTAAGGTTTGAAAATTCAACCGAAGGTAGATCTAGAATAGAGCTTTAACATATACAATTTTTTTTAAAAAATCTGTAAAACCAATTTTTGTGTGAGTAAATCAACAGTCAACAGGTATTTAATAATACTTTTATTATATTGTTAATTACGATTTATGGGTAACTATGGCAATAAATTATTATAGACAGACGAACAGCTCTATTTGTATCCACCCTAATAACAAAAGTACATTTTTAAACACATTACTGTCATTAGGTACAATGCTTTTATTGATATTTATATTTATACCATTACAAATTCGCATCAAACCATTAATTTGAAAGTATGAAAGTGAAATTTAATCACTTTCAGTTGTCATAATTCATATAGATATGTGACCTCCCCACCTTAATATGCCCCAACCCCTCTGTTTTTGATTTTATATAAGCAAAGAATTATAATAATATTATTTATTATTATTACCTAGAATGTCTTTAGTTTTATGTTCCTTTAATCTGGTAAAATAAAATATTAATTTTTTATTTTTAGATCAACATTTCACTCAAAGAATCTTCTAACGAAGGAAATATAATTAAAGATTTTCTCTATCACCAAGGAAGAAGTAAAGTTAGAGACCAGTTAGAAAAATATATAAAGGATCTTAAAGAAGGTAATTTTTATTTGCTTTTTATATTAGAGTCAGATGAATACAAAATAAATTTAAATTGTGGTTTAAATGTATTTCTTTACGAGAAGCTTTATAGCCTCTTAAGATTTTTATATGGTAATACTGATAATACATTTTACAGAATTTTCTAAGGGTATGATCCTGCCAAAAAAAGAATTAAGTGATAATTCTACTTCCAAAACATCATTGCCAAAAGATTCATTAAATAAAGTTCACAACTCTGAGAATGTTAGTATTTTATTAAAAATTATTTAGTGTTATTTTTTTGTATGATATATTTTATAATATGTATTAACAATGATTGTTTTAGGGTGCTAAGAGTGATACCTCTAAGTCTAAAGTAGACACAACTACTGTTGTTATGGATGTAGTGTTCCAGTGTTCTGGTGACGATTTTTACAACGTTCTTACGACACCAGATGTGAGTAGTTTTATTTATAACATGCTCTGAAGGTGTGTTTATTAAAAATGAAAAAAAACATTTTAGCTCGTGTCAGCGTTTACTCATCAAACAGTCAACTTTCGAGCAGTCAAAGGAGAAAAATTTCAACTGTTTGATGGCAATATAGTAGGAGAATTTTTAGAGCTTGTAAGTTGTATTTAAATATTTTTAAGTATATTGTTCAGAAACTATTCAAGTTAATTGGTATGTTTGATTATAGTGTCCTGGTAAAAAAATTGTTCAAAGCTGGAGGACTAAGCAGTGGCCTGATTGGTTATACTCTACTGTGACTGTTTCTATAAACCAGCAGGAAGATCATACAAAAGTTAAAGTTACACTTGTTGGTGTACCTAAAAGGTAATTTAATTCAATATTTATATTATGATAAAGTTAATTTGAACTTTGTTTAATACAGCGATGAAAACGTTACGCGCCAGAATTGGGAAAGATATTATTTCACACCAATTAAAAGAACATTTGGTTATGGCATGCTACTTTGATGAGTCTGAACAATACATCGAATTATTAGTTATAGTTTTTCAATGTATTTATTATCGAATAAAATATGCAGTTTGACCAGATTTCACCAGGTCTAAATTTGCGTTTACATATTGTTCTATTAATTAGTAAAAATTCTTTAAACTCACCACAAGTCCTCCATAAAAACTTTACCTCGTACCTATTCGATATATAATCATCTTTAAGGTGTTTCTTTTTTTTTTTTTTTTTTATGTTCGTTTTTATTTTAAATTTAAATAAAATGAATAAAATAACCTAAATTAATTGTTTTTATTTATTTTTATTATTTTATTATAACTTTAGCCAAGACATTTCCAAGGAGTATAATCACTTGCTTCGACACTGGAGGTGGTAACGATTCGGTTTTTGGGTAGCTGCCAGGTTTTTATTTCTTGTAGCTAATCATAAATCGTAAATATCCAGATCATATAACATTAGATTAACTAAGCTTGTTGTACCTAGTTACCATAGCTTGGATAAATTGGAGGATGTAAAAAACTATAATTTTATTACATAAGTTGAATAAATTTTTTTTTTTTTTTTAATTAAAATTATTTTACTTTTTTTTAATATAAAGGTTTTTCGTGATCACCCTGTATTATAGATGTGTATATTTGTTTACCCATAACTTTAATTTTATTTTAAAGAATTATGTTGTTTTATGTAAATAAGGTGTCCGTGAATTAATTTAAAGCATACTGCTTAGTTTTAAGTGTATTTTAGATGTAGTGTGTGAAATACGGATAATTATTAATTATTACATAACATAAAAATTATATAAAATGTATCAGAATAATAAAGTTTATATTAAACTTGAAAAATAATGAAGTACAATAAAATAAGTGTTCCGTGTTACTACTTAAATAGCGAGTGAACCAGTTCAACTATACACCAATGAGTATTTTGAAAGTTAAATGAGTTTTGGTGGGCGTTTAAAAACTGGTGGTGGCATATTTGGGCAGTTTTGTACCAACGTTTTTTGATTTGTACATTCAGAACCTGCAAAATTAAAAATATGTATTTAGGTTAAAAATTCATAAACTATTATTTATTATGGTACTCACTTTCGACCCATGTACCACGAGGACAACTCTGTAAAATAAGAAACAATAAGTAAAATGTTGGAAATGCTAGATAATATGACGCGCAATTCGCCGAAGGTGCGCCACCTTTTTTTTAACACCAAACTTCGAAATTATACTTGCTACCTATCCCCTGGCCTGGGTTTCAATATCCGACACCAAATTACAGTATAATATTAAGTTGATAAAGTATAAAAAAGTATATTTAACCCAAATTAATGGTCTAGAGATTTTTATAACTTAATATTTGTGACTGTCAAACAATAGACGATTTGAAAATGTCTAAAAAAAAATTACCTAATTTTATTTTTCTGAATTATAAATTTATAAGTTCCTAAGTAGATACTTAAGGTTCATAGACCTCGTTTATAAATAGTTTTAAAAAAACAGTCGCGGAAAGCGAATTGGCCAAGAAACCTGTCTAGACGCCAGACGGAGGCTGCGATGGTCCTACTTAGGCTGCTTAAACTAAATCCTTATATGTAATTACAATAGTAACTTTTAAGAAAATTAAGTTCTTTATTTACCATATACAAATTTCTAAGGAAACACTTCATCAATTTTCCTGCAGGCGTGTTCATCATATGATTTAATTGTTCATCTTTTTCATTTTTAACTGAAACCGTTTATTTCACAATATTAATTAAACCATTTTCAGTAATTACCTATAACACTATTTTTGTATTTATATTTTAATCAATTACTTTCGTTGAAACATTTGTTCAAATGCGGTTGCCATATAGATCCCCAGTTAGCATCGTTTTTAAAACTTTCGCTCATTTTGTTTGTTATCTTTTGCTCATCAAGCTTTCCGTCATTTGTCTGCGAATGAAATATAGATATTATAAATTGAATTGTTAGTTTTATCGAGATAATATGCCCATTTGATTTTAAATATAATATTTTTGTAGTATGAACTGTGAATGGTACACACAAGACGTTTTCGGGGGTAGTATTATCTTAGGTCCATTGAATTACAGTAAGGAAATGTGGGTTCATACAAACCTCTTAAAAACAGAGTTTGACACCTATCATGAAAAATAAATGGGCACCACTGCTTATTATAGGTATACCGTATATTCTCATATACATTATGAGTACTTACGACAAGTCCGATATTCATGAATACACATTGGAACAAACACGGAGGTTCTGAAATCAGTAAAATAACTAAATCAATTTACATTGTATCAATAAAAACTATTGTCAATTTCAATAAATTTAAATATAATTAATATAGGTTTTTATATTAGATACATCTCACATATGTTAAATATAGATAATCGTTCAATTAATTATGTAAACCCATCATAATTTTGACCAACTAATCATCATAAAAAATAATGTTCCAAAGTAGGTGTAATGAAAATAATCCAACAAATGGGAAGTAGAAGAATTTTTTTTGTTACTTTATTTTGGTGTTGAAAATAGAAACTAATGACTTATGTAAGTCCATCAAAATTTTACTTTTCTCGCCGCATTAATTCTATTTTTTACCTATCATTAAATTTAAATGTGTATTTACGCATTTAAATTTACATCAATCTTTCTTTTTTTTCATTATATTAAACTTTCTAGCTAGTGCAGTTAGGTACATTCTACAAATTTCAAAATTTTAATGATTTAAACTTTTTTTTATGACACTTGTGTTCATAACAAAACTTACCGTGTTTTCCATGAACCATTTCTTTATGTTCTTGAGAGTCAGGCTTATCCATAGCTTCCTTAAATTTGGCCATACAAGTTTCCCAAACACTTTCTGTGCCTGGCAAAATGTTAGGCATTTGACAGCAAAGTGGTACGTCCTGAGATCACAGAGACGTATTTTTTTATATTGTTACAAAAATATATAATACATTTTACTCATTTTTATTTGTCTTCGATTTAACTGAGACACAAAAAAATAGCTTAAGAAAATAAAATGGCATTGATCGTAATTCGTAGCGTCCACAAAAGTGTTTTTTTAAACGATTGCGATTGTTTTTGTCATTTTTGAAAATTCTGTTTGGGTTTGTTAGATATTTTATTCATTGCTCGGACTTCAATAAGTGCAAACCGTTTTTTAATATACTGTTGAACTTTTATAATTGATTAACCAACGAAAACTATTAAACTATAGTATTATGAATTTGATTTGAAAAAATATAAAACCTATGAAACCAAATTTGTATTTGATTATCTAATATTACTAGGACAAAATATGTTCATCGTGTTACCGAGAAGAACGTTTATATGCACTTTTTTATGTATGTAAATATTAAATATGATCATTAAAAATGTACCAAGTATAAAAAAATACTATTTTTGTACCTTATTGGGTTTGGGTAAAAGCGAGTGACATTCTTCTTCGCTAGACATCCGCTTCTGTCGCGAATTCCATGACATAAAGATATGTCCATCGTCCTAAAAGTACATAATAATAAAAGTTTCTATAATATAACCATTTAAGAATTATCTACCTCTTTTACACTGTAAGAAGCCGTCTGGTATACAAGCACTGTTAGGCAAACAAAAATAATTCCTTGCATTTTGAAAAGTTTCAACGTAGAACTAAGTTGTCTATCCAAAAAAGACCGCGGAACGTTACTGACGACTAAACTGTCGTTGCAGTCTCTTTTTAAGTTAAATATGCGAATGTAATATTTCATGTTTTTCGCTCGAATAAACAATAAAAATTGTTTAATCATAGTTATCGTAGTCATTAAACGTTCCTCAAGGTCTGTACCTATTATTACAATTATAATAAGCATTCATTGTTAAGGTTAAACACAGGAAATCAAACCACTATTATAGATGCCCTACTAAATAGGCACCAAACGAACAAAACATATTGTATCTATGTGTAGGAATTGTTGAATTGTGTGCATTTAAATATAAATGTACTCCTACAACATAGTGCACTTGTTGACATATTATAATAGGTAGATATTTATTAAAAGTGACTTTGAAATATTTTGCTAAATTCGGAATGCCCAAGGTTGTCTGTAGTCGTCCAACAAAAATTATTAAACAGTATTTTTTTAGTAAAATCAGTAACATTTAAAAATTTGTATAAGTTATTTAAAGATAATAATTATAATGTATTGTACAATTAAATAAATCACAGACATTTTTTGTTTTTACAACAAAAAAAAATTGTATTTTTATTTGATCATATTTCGCTTACAATTATATTAGATTGAATATTATACTGTTTTTTTTTTTTAATTTGCTTATAAAATTAAAATGTATACATAGATTTTTAAATTCTAAATTCATTTGAAAACGTGCCATGCAATGACCTATTCAAATATAGATAATGATGGTGCAAAATGGGTATGATTTTATTTAAAAAATGAAAAGCAGTTATTTATAAAGTTATGAAAACCTTTCTTGAAAATGGTAAAAAAATAAAAATTAAGTTGAATATTAGTAATGATTATAAACTTAGCGTTATTAAACTTTAATATATAAGTTTAAAAACAGAAGCCCTCTTTAGATTGCCTTCTTAATTTTTATATAATATATAACTTATAAGATTTGCCCCAGCTGTGGCCAATTTGTAATTTAAGAAATTTAACATTTTATAATTTTAAAAACGATTGCAGAAAGCGAAGAATGCTTTATTCAAATTTATTAATTAAGCATAATACCCCAATGGGAAAAAATATTTGTTTGTACAGATCTGCTCCACAAGTGAAAACTGTCTGGAGCCTAAACGGTCTAAAAAAAATATTGGAAATTATGTCGTTCAATATTTTGTGTTTTTAAATATTTAAATTTGTATGCTGTCAAAAATATTACCTTTATAAAACGAACATGGATAACAACATATAATGTTGACTACAATCTATAGTAAAAAAAACAGAACTGTCAGATATTAATACTGTAGCGTTCTATCTTGTCGATTGTAAATGTAATTTTTGCTAAAAACCATCTACCCCCTTGTTTATATCAACGTTTATACAATATACCTATACATTTTTATTATTTCCTACGTGCTTTCTAAAAACGGACTTGATCAATATAAAAATGTATTAACTGTCGACAATTCGTGTATGTTTCTATTTTACCTTATAAGCAAACATACTATTCGATTTGATTATTTTAACTAAAAACGAATTCATATTATGTACAAACTGGGTCATTAAAAGTTGTTTTTCCAAACATTCTGCCTTTGTTGATCGCATTTTAGTATTCCAGTAAGACTTATGTCATTGTTTCGGTATATAATCCGGGACTAATTGATATTGGACGTTTAATCGCGTGTACTTGATTTGTTGTTTTACCCGATTTTCCCTTTTAAATCATCATCATAGTACATAAGTTACATCGGCTTGGAATGACGTCAACGCGGCCGCTTCCACGTGTTTGAATGGATCAATAATATCTGAACTTTCAAAGCTCCTCGCCAGGGTTCTCTACTGGCTACGTCCCACAGTTCCATACGGAACTTATTCACTCGTAGTCGTTACGAACGGCGATCTGTGAAAAAATGTCTTGAACTGTAATAATATATTGTTATGGACATTTAAAAACATCTTGAACGGAATATCGTTATTAACAGGCCACAGCCATGTTCGAAGGCATTGTGGCGTCGTTGTTGAATAGGTACTTGGGCAAGTACATAGAAGACTTGGACTTGGAAAACTTGAACGTGGGAATATTCAGCGGCAACGTGCTGCTGTCCAATTTGAAATTGAAAACCGAAGCTCTTGTAAGTGTTATTAAATTGTAATATTTTTTAAGCTTGTAGCTGCCGCAGGGGGAGTATAAATTCTACAATTTATATTATTTATTTCAGTATGAGCTTGGATTTCCGATAGAAGTAAAAGCCGGCTCCGTAGGCAAGTTCAACATAAACATACCGTGGAATGGACTGTCCAATCAACCAATCGTGATAAAAATTGAAGTGAGTCGAATTACAGTTGATTTATGACGCACACCGTACATAGTTATAACAGCAATAATGTCGAACGTTTTTGTACAGGAAATACTCATCATCACCGGGCATGTCCTGGACAGAGAATGGGATACAGAACTGGAAAAACGGCTGATGAGAGCCATGAAAAAAAACATTTTAGAAAAAATAGAGAGTACTTCGATTTTTGGTAGCGGTAAGTGTGTAGTTTTCGGTTTTTTTTCCAGCGGATCGTCTTAATGCTTGTGTTCGTAGGACCTATGGAGAACGGCGGATTTATCGAAACCCTAATGACGACCGTCATGAATAATTTACAAATATTCATAAGAGGTATTCATGTAAGATTCGAAGACACTATTAGTAATGTAGACTCTCCCCGAGCGTTGGGCTTGTGCGTGCAGTCCATTTCGCTGGAAACCACCAACAGGTAAATGAAAAAAAAAAATATATATATATATATATCTATATATCCAAAATAAAAAATAACTATTATACAATTGTGACACTATTGACGGCATTCGCAGCAAGTGGAAACCGATTTTGTCTCAACAGCGCGGACAGTCGTCGGTTTATCAGATCGTTAAAATAGATTCTGCTTCGGTTTACTGCAACACGCTGTGCTCGAATTTGCTATACAACAACAAAACCGTGGTGTCCAATTGGCAGGAAAAAATGCGGTCAGCATTAAACAATTTTAACATAGACGAAGAACCTCTCGAATTCGGTAAGTACACACTATAATAGATGTAATATTGTTATATAGAACCATATGAGAGTTTCCGTCCGTTAACGCTAACGCTTAATGATATTTTCGCGTGTGTTCGTGATCAGTACTTAAACCGGTGGTGTTGAAAGTCAAAATTATCGTAAACAAGTCTAATGAAGCTCGAGTGCCCAAGCTACTAGTTGACTTTGTGTTGCAAGACGCTGCTTTGCAGTTGTCCAGAAAACAATTTGTCTCTCTAATGGAAATTGCTGAGTTTATGAAACTGGCCGAAATCAACAGGTCGAAAATAATAAAATCATCTGATTTATTTTTTATTTTTTTATGTCAACGTTTTTGTCTTCTTCAGATCGTTCCGGGATATACGGCCGCGCGCCGGAGTAGTAAAAAACGCCAAAAACTGGTGGTCTTACGCTTACAAGTGTGTGCTGCGTCAAAGAGCCACTATGTATTGGCAAAAAATAAAAACGCACAGGTAAACCTATATTTACCGCTTATGATAATGATAAAAGTAGATAAAACGAACACTTATTGTATTTAAAATTGTTTCGCAGGAAAAACTTTAGGAGCTATATAAACGCGTACAAGAAAGTCTTAGTGAACCCCAACGACACCGAATTAAAACTAGACTTGCAGATGCTCGAAGACGAATTGGACATTTTCAACTTGGTCTTGGCAAGAGAACAGGCGAAAATTGAGGTACACTTAACCGCTTACTTAGTATAATAAGTAATAACTCTACTCCTGTTATTATATTGCAAGTAGTTACTATGTAGTTCCGTTCCGCTATAAAAAGTTCGTCTCGAGTTGTGGGTCGGATTCGTTTAGAGTTTAATTTACTAAATGCAATCTAAATATTTTTTTTTAATTTATTAATTCTCGTTTGACGGTTAGTAGTTTCTATGTTGTAACTCACGAAGTTCTTTCACACGTCCTTTTCATTAATGAAAAATTAATTAAAATTTCATTGTTTTTACTCATCGACCGTCAAAAACAAGCAAATTATCTATATTTTTTCACTACCTATGTCCATTAGTATATGTTGCTGTTGTTGTGTTTCATTTCACTTGCCTGAGTAAAACGAGTTAAGTACATTATTTTTAATTTGTATTATAGACTAGTAATGACGAACAGATGTACAAATTAAAATTACTATAACATCATCGAAAGTCCGTTACCCGACTACTATTAAACCTTTATTTATAGTTTGCTTGAGATGCGTGCATTCAGTAATACCTACGAATAATAATGTTATATATTTTTTATTATTAAACTATTATGTTGTACATTGCATACGTTGATCAGCTGTGCGAAAAGAATCCAGAGAGTGTTACCATACAAGAGTTCGAGTCAAAATGGTGGGGTTTGACGAATGCCAAACCCTTGTACAGGTTGTGCTTGACGTGCGACAAAGGCAAGACTTTCTGGAACTTACTTAGTCAGTCGGAGAAGGATCGGCTCAATGACTTATTGGGTCGTGCAGAAGGGGCGGATGTAATTCGAGTAGCTACACCTAAACAATATATAGGTAAATAAGATACCTAAACTAATATTATTATACTCGCCGTATTTGTACCATCTCATAAGGCAGTTTAGAAGTAAAAATATTTTTTTAATTATTTTAAATATTTAATTAAATTGTATTTTATTTAAACAATTATCTCCCCTCGCAGAGCACAAGATTAATTTAACAGTGGCCAATTGTCTGATGAGTCTGATAAGCGGCAGCAACGAGTTAATGGTAATCACCGTTGGTCATCTGATGAGCAGTCTGGAGACGAGACCATCGGCCAAGGCGTACAAGATATCTACTCGGGTCGAGAGCATAAACGTGGAGGCGTCTGTCGAGTACAGTTTAGTTCCCATCATTGACACTTGCACAATGAGAGGTACGGCGACAATGTGACGTTATAAAAATGATTATTTGCTTACGGATAATGTGTGTGCTTTTCGTGTAGATAATTCGTCCAAGTACTTCTTGAGCGTCGACTTCGAAAAAAACCCACTTAATTCGGACGCCGAGTACGGGTTGAGCGTCACGTCGGAGTTGGCTGAAATTGTTTATCACGAAGTAATTAAACTAATGGATTTTTACCTATTTATAATCATTGTATTGTGCTTGAATTTCATTTAATTGTATATAGTTCGCTTTATCTGCTCTGCTCAGCTTCTTCTATTACAATCAAAAAATAAACATCGAGAACCTCGTTAAAAACGTATACGATTACATTGCCGAAATGGTCGAAAATGTGTTCAAGTCCAATCGACCGGAATCCAAGTATAAGAAAATGTTGCTGAATTTGGACTTGCAACTGCCGTACATTGTCATACCGGAATTTGGGTCCATCCAGAAGTGCGCGCTCGCTTTTTACTTGTCTATCAAGTAACAAAAATGTACATTATTAATAATCAAATGCTTGTGGCACAGATGCGAGAATGTTATGATACTGGATTTTGGTGCAATCAAAATCAAAAGTGATCTACAGCCAGACGCCATATGTCTGGACGACGTCACTCAAATGGAAATGGAAGAGAAACTCTATGATAGATATCACATCGACGTGGATGGATCTCAAATGATCTTTTGCAATTCAGGTGAAAAATAAACTTTCGCGTAAAATAAATTATTCAATCCATCTTTGTGATTCTTTATAAAATATATATATATATTTTTTTTTGTGTATGTTAAATTTATTTTCAATTTTTAGTTAATTAGTATAATGATTGAGAAATCATGTTTTTAAAGTGAGGCAAAGCTTAAGAAACACAAATGGAATTGTAAATTATGTTATAACAGTACAAATATATCGTAACTAGCTTTAGGTCCACATAGTAGGTAATGGTACACTATCAAATAGTAAATTAACAATTAATTATAGTTAATTAATACGAATCACAAGACTAAAAACTATATGAAGTTTTGAAATATATAGGTACATAACCGAAGTTGTGAGAACTAAAAGACAAATTTTTTGAAAATCAAAATATTTCAACAAAATAATACTTTATATTATACATTTTATTTTTTGTGTTATTTAAATTGCGTGTATGGGATGATATTATAGTCTATAAATTAATGAGATTATGTACCACAATATGGTTATTAGAAGAAAAAAAAACTAAAAGTGATTTTTACCCGTAAGAATATCTATCCTATTACATACACTGTGTAAAAAATATTACTGTCGGAATTTATAGAAAATGATTGGAGAACACTAAAAACCCAAGCGGACTCGTCATCTCACATCGTATCGAAAACAGTTACTCAGATTGTGATCTCCAACAGCATCAAACCGGAGTACAAACAATTAGCCAAGCGAAAGGTTAATATTTCCGTACAGAGTATCAAATTGAACTTATCCGATCACAAAATCAGCTCCATATTAGATTTCATCGAGAACACTCCTCTGCCTACTAACCATGTTTCATCGGCCACGTTGAAAAAACGTTACAGCACCGGCGATGAAATTAACACGTGTGACAGGGTTAGCAGTACAGTTCGGTTGGCGATTATTCACTGCTAATGTTGTTGCTTTTGTTTTGGGACAGATTGATTTGCATAACGGAGAAGGCGAGTTAAAAGCACTCAAGTCGTCTTTGGCGCTATACCTGAAAACCAAAGGAGTGTGCGTGAGGTCCAACGAAGAAAGAGTCGAAGTGAAAAAAGCGTTTAGAAACGTCGAAAGAAAGTAAGTGATATAGGAGTATTAGAATAACAAAGGCCCAACCAGAATTTTTGGAACGAGTTAAGATGTTGCGTTGTAAGCCTCGTCGTAGTTAATGTATTAGTTTTGCCGGGAGACATTTTAATCCCTCCTTTACACTTTCTCTCTGTTGCTCTGGTTGTATTGTTATTAATAAAGATAATATTTTTGACACACTAATGACTGTCTGTTTTTCGAAGGAGCCTCGTGTCGTCAGAAATGAGCGACGAAGAGTTTGCTGAGCTCTGGGCTCGCACCGTTGACTTACCCGGGTTTGACGACAACGTTTCGCCGAACAACACCATCACTTCGCTGTTTAGATTTGTCATGGGAGAAGTATGGCTCTGAACTGACAATCACCGACAAACATGATGTTTTGCTAACGGTTTGCTTTTTGTTTCGTTTATAGTTGTCAGTGAATTTCCACCGTTCTAGCGACAAGGCGGAAAAGCCGTACTTGAACTTGACAATGAAAAGATTCTGTTGTGATGTCGCCGTCATGGAGTACGGCCCGGCAATACAGACCTCTATAGGATCAATTAGCCTGTCAGACGTACAGCACATTTGCAAAAACAACGAAAACGTCAGGTTGCTCTGGATCAACCCGAACGCGCCGACACAGGATTCAATCAACTTACTTTATCGAAAAGTACACCTGTTTATATAGATTTCCCAAAATAACAATAACCATAATAAACATAGTTATTATAAATAAAATAATAACATGATAATCTAATATATTAGCATCACTAATGACCCGTGCCACGGTCGTTCGGTAAATAAATACAATAATAATATCTATTCATTTGTTTTTTAGCATAAGTATAATACATTCATATCTTTCCCTTTTAACTGAATAATGGCCAAATTAGGTACAATTAAAAACAAATTTCAAGCGAATGACTTAAAAAGTCATTTGCACAAATATAAAATAACACTAGGTCATCGGTATGTTGGTACAAAAATATACGTCTAAACTCCTTTATGCATGTTGTGTGTAAGTGGAGTAGATGCTGAAAATAACCATTTCCAAAAACCCTCCAATTCAACTAAAAATAGCCAACATGATCAGTAAACCAGCAAATTCCGCCCTTTTTAGTATACAACAAAATATACATTAGTAAAATTCATAGATATTTCTTCGTAACACTTCTACAGTTCTACTACCTCTTCTCTCAACTACAAATAACAATAAAAACATAAATATTAATAATCGCAACTAACTGCGAAAACGACGGTTGTCAGTAGGTAAACATTTTTAACCGATTTTGTTTCAGGTGAGAGCCAGCTGTCCAGATTTCAAAAGCCATTTCCATAGTGTAGAAAAATCACTTGTCCTCGACCTGAATCACGTGGACATCGTGTGCCATCGAGCCGCCATCATAACGCTTTATAAATACCTACAGTACGTCACGCTTAAGTGAGTTTAATCAACGGTGTGAGTGACGCTTTTGATTCGACCATTGCGGTAATCGACGCGGTTTTAGGTTTAGCAACAGACGGATGTGTGCGGCGCTGACTGTGGATAATCTCAAGAAACGCATTAACGACCATTTTATTGACGACGATCCGCCCGTACCACCCGGTGCTACCAAGTTCAGCTACTCCGCACGCATCACCCACATAAACGCTTTGGTTTGCGACACCGGACTGGATTTCCTGAATGTCAAGGTGAGATATAAAAAAAAACGTTTGTTTAGCTCAACACCATTGCAAAAACGCGTGCTTCCTCCTTCTTTAGGCCGGAGGATTGGAAAGCGATTGCACTTTTAAAGCCAACGATCGAATGGTGTTTCGGTTGTACGTGATGAGCACGAGCGTCGACGATTTGTCCGAAGTCACGCTGTATCCCAAGGTGAGTACTGAGCGTGACATTGCCGTGTATTAATTAAGTCTGCTATAATTGGACGACCGAGATTCAAGAACCGTGTGTAATATCATGATGTATTCGTCCACAGCTATTTTACACGGACGAGGATAAACTGTTAGAGTTCAAATATGTGCGTCACAATCCTCGTCTGTACAAAACCGACATTGAAACGAAAAAAGACGACGTCAAGTTCGACGGCAGCGTCAAGTTACACTTGGGACGCGTGCACGTCACCGTTTTATGTAACGTCCTATTGGACTTCCAAGTAAAACACACAAATAGTTCATTTTTTCTCGTTGTTACTACAACAATATTATTATTATCTATGATTTCTGTTCACAGTACTTTGTAGAACCGATTATCGCCGAGGAAATATTGGACTTCGGGCGACGCTTAAGGGGCATACTGGCGCCGTACATGCCGGATTTGCGCAACGGATGGAAGAGTAAAATACACCTGTCGATATGTCTCAATTGTCCGGTGGTGCTATTTCCACAGAACTCAACTTCTCCAAACATAATTCTGTGCAATATGGGAGACCTGACGATAGAAAACTTTTTCAAACAACAACCGCAAAAGGACTACGACGGTCTCGGAGTCGTCGACAACGTTTTAGCCAAGTGGGACGCACTAAACGTATCCAGAGCCATTATGACACTGGACGGAAATCTCGTTATTCAAGTAATGTCTTAACGGCCATACTGATCAGGTCTCATTTATGAAAGCTATGATAATCGACTTTATCAATTGCCGTACAGGAACCCATGGTCGAGCCTTTTAGTATTCGTTTGGACATCAAGAGAAATACGACCAATGAATTGTTGTACAGCATAAATGGTGGCATCGACAGCGTGCAGATCAATTTGGGTCAAAAAGATTTCGCCACATTCCTGCACGTATGGGATGAAAACTTTGAGTCCGGACGGTGCATTGACGAAATGGCAACACTGTTAATGCCACACATGACCGAAGCACTGGAAGATAATGATTTAAAAAAGATACAAGTATTCTTCAACCATGAAATATCGGTTCAAGAAATCGATTTCAAGTTTTGTTTAGACAACGTACAAATTGCGTTATTCGGAAACTCCGACGAGGTAAGTATTCAAATTTCCCTCGTTGAGGTACACAACTTTAATTCCTTCTGAACATAAAATAGGGTCAAAGAAAATGTCCTTCGTAGGTATATAAAAACTTCGACGCTTTTCATAAAAACAAATATAATATGCCATTCATTATATTTTTAACAATTCTATTTAACTTAAAAAAATTTTAATTATTTAAAAAAAAATCAAAATATTGAGTGACCAACTTCTAAGAGAATGTAACAAAAAGTATTATTAATTTAGTTATTGCTTCCTTACATCCTAATTTTAAAGTTCTGGAAAAAGTATCGGTACGTGTAGCATTAAATGTAACATCAGAATATTGTTAAGATATTTCGTTTTGAGTCTATTTGGGGAACCCTAGTAAACATACTTTAAGTGCATATTCAAATATTTCAGTGGCTTATTATTTTTTAATCTATATAATAAATATCAATTAATTTAATCAGGTTCAAGGGCGCACACAGGGAGGGGAAAAATCACCCTTAGTTTCTCTGCAAGTTAAAAAAATGTATATCCAATATTACAAAATCATAGGCGGTCCCGCCTCTGAATTTTCACCTGCGGACGCCCTTGATCAGGTTTATGTAATTTCTAGAAGAGAGCGTTGAATATTATGATTGGTGTATTTATTAATGAATTATAGAACAAATTAGTGGTTAATAAGTAAGAGCTGTCTAATTTTCTCTCCAAAACAATAATATCATTAATCGAGTCAATTATATCTTTATTTTGTTTCTAAACTAATATGTTTCAGTGTGAATTAAAAATGAGTGCGGTTTATTAAATAAAAAATGGAAATTTAAGCTTCCTTTTAAAGTAAAAAATGAATTTATTATTTAGATATTGAGTTCTCCAATACGTGACGTAAACCATTCTCTATGTAAGTTGGATATGGACGAAATACATATAAAGGTGGAAATGTATTCGAACAACAGGGTAGCTATGAATGCTTCCATTCAGAAATGTGTACTGGAAGACACCAGAAGGCTGAACAAATCGGAAAAAAAGTAGGCTTGTGGTTACAATTATTTTAAAACCGACCAACGGAATATTAATTTGGATATTGTTTTGTAGGATATTCGATTCGGTTGGTCCATCGGATTCAGCTGGTGAAGTGCATATATCGGTTTTGACGCCACCGTTGTTTGATTTGTCCTTCGAAAAGACTTGTAGCGGTGATAAAACCATGAACATCCATTTGGACAAGACCCGGTTAAACATTTCAGTGCCATTCGCTGTGGAACTTTCTCAGTTTATCTTTGACTCGCTGCCGTCGAAGAAAAAATTATCTGACGACGAATCGTTAATGTCGCCGACCAACAGGATGGACGGGCGCAGGAAGTACAGATACGAGAGACCTTTGGCGGAAAAGAAATCGCTAAACGTTATCAAACAATCGGGTAATAAATAAAAATTGATAATAAATACAAATAATTTGTCGTACAACGCGACGATTTCGGTGGTGGCAAGTTTGATCGTTTTGTATTCATTTTTAAACTTTTTTTTATATCTTCAGCACTAACGATATCGGTTCGGTTCGGACGACCGGAAATAGCCATATTACCTCCGGAAACGGAAGAACTGGATTATCGCGATCAAGCGTTGCTGTGCAAAACCGAGTTCCTATTGGATTATAGCCGTCATCCGGGACACGAGGAGGCGTTGGTGTTCTCTCTGTCGAATTTCCACGTGTTAGCCGTGTCGTCAAAACGAAAAGCCCAAAAAATGGTAAAAAAAAATTCCAACGCTAAGAAGAAGTATTTTGGTCGACGCATTAGTTTTGAATTTTCTTTTTTTTTTTTGTAGGTTTTACATCCGTGCGACATAGAGCTCTCTAGAACGATAAATTCAGGAGACCGTGACGCCGTTGACATTCTCTTCCGTTCCAGTCCTCTGAACCTAAATTTGTCGACAAGCACAATTCATATAATTCTCAATGTAAATACAGTGCTATTATAGTAATTGTACATAATAATTGCCGCCGTAATAATAATTACAATGCGTTTTTTTTTTGATACCAAGGTCGTTGACTATATCGAATTGAATTGCGAGGAAGACGTGGATTTCGGTGGGTCTTCTTATTGGGAGTACAAGACCGAAGATTTGTGGACTCCAAAATCGATAACTCCCAGCTATTCGCCCAGTGCGGCCGCGGCAAAGAATCCGGTTTTGTGGTTTTTACACTCAAAGTCTTCCGACAGCATCGACGTGAAATCAGAAAATCTCGAGATCTACGCGCAAGACATACACGTTTCATTGGAAGTAGAAGAGCTCGACTTGGAAGACGTACCTATTATCAATTTGAAATCATCTCTGAAAATGCAAATCAAAGACTGGTCCGACCAACTGCGTTTGAACGGTATATAAAATAATAATTATAGGTATAATACGATAAGCTATTATACATACATAATAACTGTTAGTTCAGTACATGAAGAATACAAATAATAATGGTAGTACTTATGTAACAATTTTGTAACTATTTAACATGACGACTCAAACTTTAGGTATTATACTAAAATACCTACGTCGAATGTTTGAAGGATAAAAAAAAAAAGAATACGTGTTTTAACTTATAATCTTTAATTTAAAAATAAACAAATCAATGAGCATGATATAGTTACTAGGTATTATACTGACATCTGGAGTAATGGGATTTGAGTGATATCTTAAGTTCTAATTATCTTTTTAGTCCGAGTTAAATAATAAAATTACGTTTATAACGTTTATTTAAATAAACAATTATTTTATTTATTTACATGTATAAATACAAAAGCAAAACTGGGTAATTCATAGGGTTAGGTAGTCTATTGTAAACACAAATACTTTTTCAAGACATTGACAGAAATCATCAACTCACATAAAATTGAATTTTTTTCTAAAAGAAGAAAACTATTTTTGTATTAAATTAATACATACCTAATTTTATTGTTTTTTTAATTTTTTCAATTCAAGGCAGTTTCAACTTAAGAGCTTTGTACTACAATTGCGATTTAAGAGTTTGGGAACCACTTGTCGAACCATGGACTATTACGTTAAAAGTACGTAAACAATTTTCAATTGACAATGGTCAAGTATGGTGTTTTGTGTAACTTTGTGTATTTCTGTAGGGATTTGTTGGCAAGTGCGGTGACAAGCAAATGGACATGGGTGAAATGGTGCGTTCGTCTCCTTCGTCAATCATAGATGCCGAAACTGAAAGCTCTGGCGACGAAAGCGAAGCTGAAATGAAATTTATTAGAAAATCAGTAAAATCGAGAGGTTAGCACACAATTCTGCTTATCGTTTTGAGTATAAAATATACTTTTAGCATTTTAGGATTTAAGAACTGTAAGTTAGTATGAAGAAAGATCTTACATTCTTACCTTTATATATTACAAAGTTTCTGGAAAATCTATCAATTTGCAGTCAGAGCTACAGCCGTAATTTTATTAGATAGATCTATCGCGTTTCTCGAGGAAAAAACAAATTCAAAATAAAAATCTCACGTAAATCGAGCTAGTAGTTTTCATAGATTAAGTATGCAAAAAAACATCTTTTGCGCCGTAGCCTCCCCCGTCTCAAGCGTCCCGTGAAAACTCTTTAAAATAGAGCATATTATATTGAATGTTGTAGGAAATATTTAAATGATTCATAAAACATGTGAAAATACTGTGTAAAATAGATATCGTAGAACAATAAATAGTGCGTGTAACGTTGCACACCAAGCATCAACTAATTGGCTAAACCATAATTATATTTCATAATCGTTTTTATCTATATTTTATTAGTATTATGTTATTTGTTCAGAAACTTCGTTAGAGAAATGGTACTCGGACGATTCTGATTCTGACAACGACACCGGGGTTATGGACAAATTAGCCAAAGCTGTATCCCATCTGATTTCCGAGTATGCAAAAATATTATAAAATAAAAACATTAAACTAATTATAGTTCATTATTAATCCTTTTTTTTAGCGATTTTAGTGACGAGGAAATAACCAATACCGACTCGAGTGACGAAAGCATTGCCGATCACGATATCAAACAACAGAAAAATGACCGAACGTTGAAAAAAAAATTAAGTAAGTCGAGTAATAAAAACCGGTAATTTTAAAACTAAAACGGACTTTTGATACTAAAGACTAATGTATATATTATTTTTTACAGGCGATTCCAGTGACTCTGGTCTGGAAAACGATTCTGAAGAGCTAGACTCCGCCACTTGTGTAGTAGTTGAAGCCGACAGACTGGAAGTTTCGTTCACTCCCGCCAGTTTGTCAGTTCTCGACACACTCGTCAAATCATTTTACAGTCCAAAAAATTATGATTGCGATTCAACTGAAAGTTTTGTCCTGGTCAATGATCTCGCGGTCAGATCAATCGTCATGTTATACCAAAAAAGCGAAGTAAGCTGCGCTGTTGTTAAAAAATTACCATATAGGTGATATAGGTCCATATACCATATAGGTTGAACCGGGTAATCATTAGAGTTTTATGAACTTTCATAGTGAGTTTTTAGAGTAAATATTTAACAGTTATATTATAATTGAGTTATATCTTTATTTAACTGTATTCGTTTTAAAGTTAAAAATATTGTAAAATTTAGAATAGTACGTTAAACTATATTTGAATCGCTTTTTGTTAAAAGGGCTAAGCTACATTTTTTGTTAAATATTTTTGCAACTTTCAGCTAGTATAAACTTGAATTAAATATTTTTACAGTATCGAAATTTGATATAAATGTCGAGTACCAAGCAAGTCATAATGCACATAAAAAAAATTATTTACAAAGTTACCACATTTTGAAAGTTATGCAGTTTTTTATAATTTCTCAAAAGTTCACCTGTTGAAACATGTGCCCTTTTAACAAAAAGCGATTCGTTTACACCATGATATCAGATAGATGTAAAATAACCATATATAGTCTATCACCATAAATGTTACTTTTAGAGAGGATTAGAAAAAATTCTGGAAGCGATTGATGGGTCGAGGACATCTTCAATATCACGGCAAAGGTGAGTTTATGGGATAAAAATGCATTATTGTATATTAATATAATATACCACATATTACAGCATTTCAAACGACTGTACTTTTGTAAGCAACATGACAAGACATTGTAACTTGGAGGATAACGACCATAAATCTACGAATACTATTTACAGAAATATTACAGACAATCAGCTCAACATTAAAGTCGAGGGTATGTCGACTGAAGTGCCTTTTATTATAGCTATTTATAAATTAACCGAATATTTATACAGGTTTTGACGACTTAATTGTGGTATGTCCTAAACGGACGTGTAACAAATTGCATGCACTTCGTCCAGTCAAAAACGACACGAGGTATTGGATTATGGTTTGCGTGGTATCAAATAAATTATGCTATACTATTACAATCAGGTCGCCGCTTATGGTAATTGTATAATAATATACGTGTGAAAACAAAGGTCTAATTATATCATCGACTTGGACGTTTCAGTTGAAAAACGACACATCGTACCCGTTGATGGTACACTATAACCGCACGGAAGCCATGGACGCCTTTGAGATGGATTCTGCAGTAATAGGCGAGTCTGACAATCCGTTTGAAGCGATTTGCACAGCGACCATCCTCGATGCGGGATCAGTCTACAACGTGCCTATCGCTCTGGCTTACCATTCCAAACTATACTTATCGCCGGCTAATCTACAGTAAGCCCGTTTGTGAACAACTCATAGGCCAGTTAAAAAAAAAAAAAAACCATTTGCTGAAACCAGCGTCAGAGCATGCTCACTGTCTAGCAGTAGTATTAATTAAATCTAGATAAAATAACACGTATTTCATAAGACTTATCTAGATGAAACAATCTTCGACGATGCGTAACTTACCTAAGAGGCATTCATTTCTATCCGAAATACTCGATCGTTGCATCTTAAGTCATTTTTACACGTTATAAATAAGTTAAACGCTATACTTAAATTTCATTACATTTCTTTAATCTCCTTGAAATTCATATGTTAGATTTGTCTTTGGCTAAAACACGCTATTATTAAGTCTTTAATTATCTTTAAGTTGCATTGTATTTTAATTTGATTTCTATATTTTAGAAATTATTTTGTCAGCGATACGGGAGTTTGGTGGCCCGAAATGGCGGTCGATACGAATCCTGCAAAAGATTTGGTATGTGCAACTTCTAAACCGGACGAGCAGCTTGCGTTTTCAGTTCGTGTAAGGCCAACATTATCGACCATATAAGTTATCGTCGAATAGTTCATGCCTAATAAATTGTGTTATTGCTTTAACAGGTGGTCTGTGAAGAGGGAGAACCGGTGTTTAACCGGGCGTCGAGGGCCGTGCCAAACTACACATTTAGGGCGGTTCCTCCTGTAATCATGCACAATTTTCTACCGTTCGCTATTGAATTGAACTTCCCCAACTTCAAGCATCGCATCGAAGCGTCTGAAAAAATTGACGTGTACGAGTTGAATCTAACTCATCGTATCTTAAAAACCGAATTGGTAGTACCTTCCTACTTGGGCATATCGTGGTCGGGTACTTTTAATCTACGCAAAGATCTGAACGAAAAAACTGTGAACATGAGCACTGAGCACGACACGGATGGCGGCAACAAACACCTTAAAATAGCAGTGAGGGTGACAAACGAAGATTCTTGTCGTATTTTTATCCACTCCCCGTACTGGATCGTCAACAAGACTGGACTGCCGTTGCAATTGAGAGTATTTATTGCACACTTATAATCGGCTTGGTAAATAAAATACAAGTTAATTTGTGTGTGTGTGTGTGTGTCTATGCGTGTGTCCAGGGCTCGCGGTCCGACATAGTTTACGAATCTCATTCGGAGGAGCCACTTTTGTTTTCTTACAAACGGATGAAAAAGAGAAACATCAAGCTAAGGGCTTACCACTCGAGTTGGTCATCGGCGTTTTCCATGGACACGGTGTACTGTCCCGGGCTAGTCGTTTGCAAGGACAAAGAGCGTCAAAAAAAATACAGGATTCTCATGAAGCCCGTCTTATCGCATCTTTGTCCACATTTGACGACCATCGTGACATATTTGCCGAATTTCTCAGTAGCAAACAACTCTAGTAGAAGTCTGCGGTTCATGGAAGACAACCCAGAGGCCGATCTGTGGACAGACGTTTTACAAGGACAAGTATGTTTTTAACAAGGCGCTATAAACTACCGTCTATGGGTTTGTGCATTTTTTCTATTTGTACTATATACGTTCTAGACTTTACCATTTTGGCCTGAAACAGATTCAATGCGCATGTTTGTCAAGTTTAGGGATAGTAAATCAGGGTCACAACATTTTTCAATTATAAGAGAGCAACAGACTGTTCTTAGAATGGATAGAGGAGTGAGTATGCCTTATGATGTGCTTTGAAAATGATGCAAGCAGAACTTTTCGAATAAATGTCACTTCTGAATTTTATAGAGAGCACTAGTGGTAAAAGTAACGGGTGGCGGAGATAATCCGTTTTTGATAAGTTTTCATAAATTCCGTCAAAACGACGCTCCAGTAAGAATAGACAACGTGTGTGAAGATATGTTTTTGAAAATTCATCAAAAGGATTTGGGTCAGGTAATGCGATACAGTCACTTAACAGCATTCGTATTATTTACTCATTAACAAATCTCATTGTCCTTTAAGGTGACGTTGCTTAGTCCGAATCAATCCGTGTTATACACGTGGGATGACCCAACCGAGCAGCGTGTTCTCTACTGGAACGTGTACAGCAAAAAATCCAAAGGGTTCGTGGCGAAATTCGAGAAAGAGGGGTACGGCCAAGAGACGTTAAGTTTCTGTCAAGTAAAACCGCCCGAAGCCGGCAATAACAACTTAAACTTGATGAAGCTGATAACCAGTCAGTCCCAAGAGCCCAGCGACACCAGCAGTATCGAAGACTCGGACTCAGATGAACCTCGAGCTAAGGTACTTGGTTTTTACATATTTTTTTTTTCAATAAAAAAGTTATATAAACTTAAACCGTGTAGGTGACGTTTCAGTTGACAAAAACAAGAAAGGCCAAGATAGTTGTCTACTGGGTGAGTTACGTAGAGGTTGGCGGTCAACGTGTGTTGTTGTTTACTCAAGACGAGAAAACGGCATCTGTTGCCCGCAAGAAAATACAAACAAGTCATTCTTGCGTCGATTCGGTCATGTCTATAAAAGGAGTCGGACTGTCTTTGGTAAATGATACTCGCTTATGTACAATTCATTGAAACATGAAAACTATCAATATCGATTATTATTAGAGTACATCTCGCGGAGTACACACTGAGGAAATCGCGTACGCTAGCCTGTCGGATTCGGCATCCGAATGGATGGTGAAAGTAGGCAACGTCTGGAAACCGTTTACGGTGGAGTTGGCATGCTGGCTGGAAGATATGTGGGAGAACCACAACAAGAGAGCTCATCTAAAAGACTATGTTCATGTACGCAAGTTGAAAGGATCATAATTTTTCAACTAATTTTTTTTTTATGTAAAAATATTAGTAATGATTGAAAAACTCACAGGTGGATTTTGATAAGATGCAAATGATCAAACCGTTCTTCGGACAACTGCGTCGTCTGTACAACCCAGCCGTGTGGAGCCGTTGTAAAGTGACCACAAAAAACACTGTTTTTCAGTTAAAGGTTCACAGAATCCAAGTAAGTATTTCGACTGTCGGGTTAAACCGCAAGTGAGCTTGGTATAAAATAAAAAATCTTGATGTATTTATAAATGTAATTTACAATGACATTTCGCCGTGTCCTTCTTCGTTGGACACGGTGATTTGTCAATATGTTATATTCATTAACAATTTATGTAATTGATTAATCTAATAAACTTATTTGATTCTACAATTATCTATATTGATGATTGATACTTTTTCCCCGTCCCTTTGCTGGACCCGGTATGAGTTAAACGTACTTGTAGGATAATGATATTGTTTATTATCCGTCGTTTATTGCAGGTAGATAATCAATTGTCGGACTGTACGTTCAAAACTGCACTGTACCCGACGCCCTCGTCCAAGACGTCGTCTCTTTTGCTGAGACCGTGCGTGGAGATAGGCTATTCAAAAACTACAGTCTCGTGTCATTACGACGTTTACAAGTACGAAGAGGTTTTTTTTAAGGGGGGGGGGAGAGTGTGAGAAACCGTTACTAAATGTAAAACGTTTATATTTTTTTACAGATACTTCAACATAAGATTTCGAGATTTCACGGTGCAGCTGGACAGAACGTTCGTCGTGAAGATGCACAAAACTCTGTCACCTCTACTGGCCGTTTTCGAACGTCCGCTCGACGCCAGGTTTAGACAGGACGTGAGCTCGCTTCATGCATCCAATATGCCGCCAGTAAGCGACGTCGGAACAGCCTCTGTCGTTTTTCGCTCATTTGCTATTTATCCGTTTTTTTCCAGGGTAAAAAATCCGGAAGGACGTACATCGAATCGTTCGACTGTTCACCGTGCCACGTGCATCTGAGTTTTTCTGCCAAAGTAGCCGACCACTGCCCGTTGAAGGGCTCGAACAGTTTCACCACCGACGCTCTGTTGTACGTACTCGACGGCCATGCTAACCGACTGAGCGACATGAAAACCGTCAGCCTCGAGTATGGATATAGAAGCAAACGGTCGCCGAAAAAGTTATAATTATTTCTACTTTGAGTTTTTTTTTTTTTTTTTTGTAGCCTGAACGGCTTGACCCGCAAAGGCATTCACAAGGAATCGTTCGAATCGATTTTCAGTTACGGATGGAAGCATTACGCCCGACAATTATTGAAACAGAGTCACGTGTACATATTTAATTCGGACGTGCTGGAAAACGTTTACGAGGCGAACGACGAACGGCCAGACGCGTCCGAATCGCCCGAAGTATGTATACTCGACGCGTGAAACACGGGTTTTCCGATTTGATTATTCACTTGGTGGATTTTTTTTTTTTCCAGAACCATTTGGGCACACTCTGCTGTGACAGTCAACACGAAGCGTTTGCCGCCACTGTCGAACGCCAAGAAAAATGGGGATTTACCGAATCGCTACCGGAACGCGCATTGGCGGCCTACAAAGGAACGGAAATGTCTGTGCTGCTGTCTATGTCTGGCGCAATACAGAGGCCCCATATCGGTTAGTTAAACGTCCGTTGATAGTTCGGCGTTTGCACGATTTCAACGGTATACATTTACAGGGGGCGAAGACGACGGAGCCGCCGAGTCATTCTTTAGAGGTCCCGGTCGGAACTTGTTGGCAGTACTGTCAAAATCCAACGTATCCGACAAGGTATCGATGGCGTACGACGGAGTGAAACGGTAACCGGAACTCATTACCAACGGTCGCGCCGCTGACAGCGTACATTCTATATGTTGTTCTTAATACGATTTCAGGGTCATCGAGTCTGGCGAAGAAGTAGTGTTGCGGACGAGACTCCCGAGATACATCAACCCGATGGTCTGTCGCTTTTTAACCGATGTTGACTTTATAACTGCATTGTGCGATAGTATATAATATAAACCGGCTGTTCCGTTTGTTCGTGTAGGGAATGAAAAGCTACAGCTCGTACGAGGCGGTAGGCCAACACCTGTTCAGACTCCTAAGCCGTATGCCGTCCAACGACGGTTATTGGGCGCACGTTAGTTTTATGCCGGAAGGGAAAAAAATTCTTCTCATTACTCTTAGGTGCGTGACAGCGTCGACGCTGTACACAAGTTAAAAACGCATATAATGTTACATAATAACTGTCGGTTTTAGACGGGTGATTCTGGCCGAAAAGTGTCGCACAAAAGGACCGTGGGAAATCGAATGGAGCGTTTACGTGGACAACATCACAGAAGTGCCGAAAATCGAAGACAAGAAACTGACGTTCAAAATCCGACAAGTTAGTCGGGTATTTTGACAATCGATAGTTACCCGAAACTCATACTAATATGGTCGTTGCAGGACGAAAACCATTCCAGTTATTTCTTTAGAGGAGACGAAAAACGCGTGGAATACGACGACAAAGCGACGTTGAAATGGATCAAGGACAAGATCGAGCAAGTCATGATGTTGAGCTACGAGGACAGCCCTATGAAATGACCGCCGTCACCGCTCTATAATTAAAACACATATTTCTTAGTCAGTAGTTTAGATAACTGCAGTTATCCCCACCGTATTGTCCGAGTCAACACCTCCGATCTGCGAAAAAAATATTATAATAACTATATCAATGCATTATCTCGGAGTATTAGTATCTCACTTAACATATTATTAAACATAGAATACGCCAACTCGGAAAAATAAGCTGTTAGTCTTACAATAATTACTACAGGTGAATCGAACAATAATTTATGAATGCAAAGATCCTAAAAATTATATTTATTTATATAATATATATTATATATATATAATATATATATTTGTTTTTTATTATATTATGTCATTTATTATGTTTGGTAAAAGGTTATAAATTATAATACCTATACACATATATAAATTCTATGTACGTTATACGATTGTTTGTCGATCCATGCGATACTACAATAAGAATATTATTTATTCACTGATTAAACGATCGATGGATAAAAACAAAAACATCATATCTTACTAGTGTAGAATATTATTTGCTCTGTAGCGTTACGGCAAAGGGAAACGGAAATTTAATAAACACTATACTCCCCTTATATATATATGTGTATAAATTCATAGACTGCAATTATAATATTATGAATACTGCGGTCTGCGACGCGGCGGTGACTCGCGAGTCTTGGGTAATAATAATAATTACTACATATTTGATGTAACGGCGTCGGACGTAGGCAATTTCGCTACTCCGGGGCGTGTGAGAACGATGGCAAGGTATAGCAGCTCGTCGAGTAGGGTTAACGGACTTAGTTATAACATTTCCAACGAGCACGCGCAATCGCCGCGCCGGTTCTATGAAATTGTCGTCCGAATCGCGACATTATGGCATTCTCAGTTTTCCAGCCGTATTCTCCCTTTTTCTCGATTTAAAGTTAAGAATCTTCCCCCTCTAATAAAAGGTTCTAGCGACTGTAAACGACATACCGGACCGGATGAAAAAATAATAATAAATTAATCCTTCGAAAAAATCGTGGAAATGATTTAGCATTGCAGCTTACAAAAATTATTACTACTTTTTGAAAATGAAAAAAAAATTATTTCGAAGGCTGGTGTGTAATTAAATTATGTGCTGCGCCAACATGTGCTATATTGTTTTTCGTTTTCCCGGTTGACTTGCCGATATCTGGCTTCGAAACGATAATTATTTTATATTACTAAATACTATATTATACACTGGTGAGGGGCGATGCTGGTGTGGGGGAGAGCAGGGCGTATTTTTCGAAATCGATGCACTCACGATTGGTTGGGCGTGAAGCGTTCTGCTTCGGTGCAGTGTAACCCGCGCGCCGAACCCCGGAGGGCTGCTGGTGGCCAGGGCACGGTCTCGGGGAGGGTGACGGGTGCCGAAAATCAATGAGCCCCCTGACCTGCCGGCGGGACCGCTCGTACAGCTTCCAGTCTTGGACCAACAGCCGCCGTAAGCGCAACATTTCGGCCACTCGCCAGCACTATATAGCGGGGTTGTCGAGATTACCGATGCGCCGTTTCGCCAAACGTAAACAGCACAGGTACAATAACTACTACATAACCTTCGAGTAGAATATAATAACAATAATATATATATATATATAGTAGACACCACTATGTGATAGTAATATCATTTTGTTGGTCGCGTGTGATCGTAACGAATCACGCACCATCCCGTCGATATTTCTATAAGTATTACTCATACATTACATATTATTACTCGATAATTATAATTTGGACATTTATACTACTATAAGTATAATATATATTGTAATCGTTGTCGTTTCCAATGACTTGTGTAATACAAACAAAAACGCATGCTTAGCATCCGTAGTGTCTATTTCGGTACTATCCGATCGTTTTGTTATGATATAGCCGTAGGCAATATATTACCCGTATATTATACATTATATATTAATATGTAAACGGTGCATGTTGTGAGTGTATGTTTAATCGCCACAGTATTAAACCGACGTTTCTCATTTGCCCTTCGATCAGTAGGCCTCTTTTTTCAAAAATGTCTTTTATCGATGCTTGGTCACCTTTAAGAGCTCAGCGCGATCCTATAATCGTTTTTAGGCTTGTAGTGCTGTCAGTTTAACCGTAGTATTTAAAGTTACGATTAATTAAAAGTAATCCAAAGTGTTATAAACCCGCAAGTGTGTCGTTGCATCATTTTTTAAACCGATTGCTTTGTCTCACGTGCACAGATCCGTGTATTCATATACATATATATTATAATACATATATTCATATATAGGACGAACGGTATTTGTGTGCGATCGTTATAGGTATTGTTGTACCGTGTCAATCGTTAATTGAGCGGTTAACCGCAAACAATGACACACCGATCGACGGATTAAACGGTTTATAGTACAATGTGACTCTAAAAGAAAATTAATGACATAACCGAAAAAAACGCAACTTATCAATTTGTAGCTAATTACGTTTTTATCGTTCGACCGCCACCGCGACCATCGGTGAAAGCAATCCGGCGATTCAAGCCGCAAAGATAATGAGTCGGTAGTCCAAAGTCATCGCAAGTGTCCTAACCTTCCGGCCAGTGTACATATAAATATGGCCACCGTATTTAAAGTTTGTTTATAAAAATATTAAACGAGGCAAGTTCGGTCGTCCGGGAAACTTCGCCGTTTTTTTTTTAAAGCGTGCATCTGTTTTTTGTATAATACCTTACTGTCATTGTTATCCTGCACACGCCCCTCCCTTGGCTGTGCGGCTGTAAAGTAGGATTACGCTGGAAAAACTTACAATATCCTTTCACATAGACGTCAAAATCCTACTTAAGATTCTGCGTCAGTGTTGCAATTTTGGAAAACGGTACAAGGTTTTATAATCGTTCATTTATTGCAGTGTTCTGCAACACGACTGTCGTCATAGATAAACACAAACTACTACTCCTATTGTCACACAATATGTAATTACAACGTGTTGTATAAATACATGTTTAGTTAAACTGAAATATGATATTAAGCGATTTTTTGTATAGGAAACCGATACCTTTAAAAAAAATATAGCAAAAATGAGACCTGTATTAATAATAATATGGTCAGGTGCGTTAATAAATTAGGAAATGTGTATCATTTTTTTTTTAAATATAATTAATGTGATAAAATACTAATTGCGGTCCAACAAATTATATGTGTGTAAATATATTACCTTTGTATTTACGCCCATGTATGACTAAATGACTCGATGAGTTGCCTACTTTTATTACCTTCACTCATGTCCTATTAAATGTATTAGTATAGTGTCTTTTGATGTCCAACACTTTACTTCTATCCCTCGCCAATCTTAACTCGCAGGTAAAATAAAAGTACCATTTTTTGTCCCTTAACTTCTTCAAACCTCTCAAATTGCTATTATTTATTCAATTGTAATTTTTTTTTAGTTTCTATCGGTTATGAAAATTAATATACTTATTCATGTATTAATGTAATTATTGAAAAAAATATTCTAACATATTTTCATCAAATAATTTAAAAAAACAGTAACACATTTAATTTGTTTTGTATACAGCAAAAAGTTCAGTCATTTAACATTAATTTAGTTAACTTATTATTATTTGGTAGGATCAGAGTACCGACATTTTTGTCGATATTCTTAATGCAGTATATACGTTTCAAGTCAATTATGTTCCACTTGTTAGATATTTTAAAGCAATAAATAGCCATTAGCTTAGTGAGTAAAACATATTTTATTCTATTAACCGCTAATTATAGTAATACTAAAAAATTAAGCTAAAATAGTTAACAAAAAAAAAACCTATTCAAATTTGGGTCCGGAAGGCTTCTGTCACACTAAAACGGTCAAGTCTTAGTGTTTTACATCTCATACAGAGTGGGTCACGATGATTTGACAGATTTATATTCATGTTGTATGTAAATCTGTCAAAACCGCAAGGCCCACCCTGTAATTGTACACGGCCTCACTGCGGTGGTTCATCCCACTCGCCATAACCATGTCATACATAACCCGTTTCAGTCCTATGACATTCCTATGTACAATTGAAGGATGGTGTAAATTAATTTTTGACGATGACTCCTTATGATAATAATGATTGTGGGCAGGTTTACTATGGGTCCCTGGGTTTTATGGGTCATAATAATCTATGAGTCAATTTGAGTACTGTGATACATAGTAATTTTCATACAGCCAATTTGAATATAGTAAATTTGAGTGGCAAAACAAAAAGTTACGTACTTCGGGAGGCAATTTAGCAGCACTAATTTAAAGTTAGACTTTAAGTTATAATTGAGGGGTTTTGTGTACGGTGTAAAATTAATTTAACTTGAAAAAAAAATGTTGGTCTCGTTAAAGTATTCATATTTGAATATTTAAGGAAACATTTTTTTTTTTTTTTAAGAAACAGAGTACTCAGCTACACAACCCGCACGCCCTGTATGCATTTCTATGGTTATTATTTTGATGTTACATTAATTCTTCGTATTAGGTCCCAGAAGTTATGCTCTTAAAATAACCGAAATATGGATGAGATTATGCGCTAAAATCGGCTAATGTGTGCACTGATAAAACCCCAAATACGAATACTAATTTTACTATAGTATAATTCTTTATTTTTCTAAAAAAATTAATATATATATTGTTATTATTTTATTGATATTTTTAGATAAGGACAATTAACAAAATACAATATAACGGAAATATTAAAAAATATGAACAAATATTAAACAATTATTATTATTACATACCTACAACTATTTTTCTGACCATTTAATAAAATCATAAAAATGCATGAACTTCCGGAACCCACTCGTCTTATATCTCAGTATGTTATGTTATATACAGTAAACATATACATATATATATATATTATTCTGCCATAAATGTATCTGTTCGCCAGGCTGAGGGCAGCAATAATCTATTTAGGGCGGCAGTTGCTTAAGTTGTTTCTGATTAAACATAATATTTAATTAATATCCACGATAATACGTTTTTAAACCCGGAGCGTTTCTCGGATAGGAATTAAAATAATTTAAGAAATAATACAGAACTCGAGAAAAGGATATATGTTTAAAACGATCGGCCTCTTAAAATAAATCTTAGGATCGGCGGTTATATTAATTTCCATTAATCTGTCTATCAAAATAGATGATTTTCATTTAAATTGAACGACGATTTAAACGAAAACCAATTTGTGTAGCCTTTTATGTTATTTTCGATTATGGATTTTTGTAAAACTTTTTTACTATCGTTTTTATAAGTATTAATCCGATTTTGTTGCAATATAATATTGTACTGATTTACATTCGCTTATAGCTTAGTTTGAAGATCACGATTGTGTACATATCACATCGTTATGAGTAGGTATAATCACTATAGTAGGTATAAGCAGTACCTCGTGTGAGGAACTATCGGTTTGGCCAATTGTATACTAAAATTTCAATTGTGTTCAACTGGTATAAATATCTTCATGCATTATTCTGAACGGTAATACTCGGCATTATAAATAGTCAACTATCTATATAGATTTCTCATACTAGTGAAAACTATACGACTGTGACAGTATGCGAATAAACCTACAGAGACCGGAATATATATAGCAAGAAAATCAGAGTGAACGATCCCACTTGGGATAAAGGCGGAGAAAACTGACTGGGGGCAATCAAATTATTAGGCGGCAGACTTTAAAAAAAAAATACAATTTGGTATACAAAAAAATATATTCTGTGCCATTTTTATAAATTTATTACCTGATAAAACGGGGTACCCTTGATGTGTTCCTCCTCATATTCACCACTTCAGTTATTCTAAACTTAATCGGTATATGCCCAACATTTGTTTTGTTTCACTAGGTACCTAATAGTTTTCTACTTAGCCACTGTTAATGCGATTTTATAATGACAACCCGACTATGAATCAGTAAATTTACTGTTAGTTTACTGATAAATAAATAAAAAATAATTATAATAAATATATGAGTTCATTATTTTAAGAGGTAATCAGAATCTTATCCTTGAATGAATCACCCTGTACAATTTTACCGAGAACTTTTAACGAATTTAACATCAGTTGATTAACCGTTGTTAACCTTTTGTATTTTCGCCGTAGTGCTCTTATCTCGGCCTTTCTGTCATCATCGGTGTGAGCGTTGCCTTGTGCTTTTGCTTTAATCGTGTGTTTGATCATTTTCTGTAAGTGTCATTTACATTCCTGTTGTTAACTCGTTAACAACAGTAGCACTGACATTTAATTTTGAACCTTTGCATTTTAGTTTATAGGTCATTGTTTTGAATAACTCGTTTTCAGTATCACCCAATAACCAACGAAAAAAAGTAGTGTTATAAATGAATTGGGAGTTCTTCGATTGAAATATTTAAGGTTATGTAAACTATAAGTCATACAGAGTGGTAAATTTATAATCATTTATCTATTTTAAGTTATGTGGAATACAAATTACAAAATGACGCATTCATATTAAAGTGATGAGATGATGTGTTTACTAAAATTCGGCAGTGTACAAATTATGACCAATAATAAAAATACCTATAGAATTAATATTACTTTATGCCACTGACGGTCCTCGAGTGAATCTAATAATATAAATAATAATAAATTACATTGTATTATTACTCAAAAAAACAATGTTTGACCTTGGTTAACCGGGAAAGTCCAAAACTGACGTACCTACCTATGATAATGCCATTGCACCGATTGAACTGTATACCGTTTGAGAAATTGTAATAACTAATAAGTAAGTACGTGTGAACATTTTGTTTTAATCAATTTTTTAACAATGAATGAAAAAATTAAGTCATAGAATAAAAATAATAAGCTATGGTCATGCATATGTTATTCAACGCGTACTTTTAAAACAAAATTTCGCGTTAGTCTCGTGTGAACGGTAGGTTTTTATTATTGAATTAAATACGTGTGAAATATTATATTACAAAAATTACATTGTTGTTGACCTTTCGATAAAATATTTTTTAGCTTATAAACATTTCATTACTTATTTATATTTTAAGGTTTAGACTACCTAATTATGGACATTTGGATTTGGACATTCTTTGTGTGTGTATTTTTTTCGGGCATTTCTGTTGTATATCCACGAGTAATGAAACGTGTTTTTTTTTAACTGAACATAATAGATTTTTCTAATGAAGTAAATTAAAACCGTCACGTTTTTCTTAATTTCATAATCAGCCGTGGTATGTGTGTCGATATTTTGTTGACTTGTACACTCTAACAACAAACGTTAGTTGCAGCAGCCGTGAGTTTGTTGTTGTTCGAAGGTCTAATTAATGTTCTGTGATTTTTGTGCAGAATCGAAGCCATGTATGGTACGTGATAGACAGCGTGGAAGATGAGGACGCGTATGGCTGCGTAATGAGAGCGCTCGTGGCTGGGGCGCTGTCGGTATTGTACTCATCAACGACTTCGGACAACAATGCGTGGCCAACGTTGGCGACGGCGGCAGCGACGGTGGCCACCACGGCAAACTCGACCGCGGTGCCGTTGTACGATTCGCCGCCGAGGTTCTCGTTGACCCAGACCGTGTTTATCGCGCTCATGTCCGGTGTGCTCAGCATCATCACTGTGGTGGGCAACATAATGGTCATGGTGTCGTTCAAGATCGATAAGCAGCTGCAGAACATCAGCAACTACTTCTTGTTCAGCCTTGCGCTGGCCGACTTCTTCATCGGGCTCATATCCATGCCACTCTTCACCGTCTACACCATACTCGGCTACTGGCCGTTCGGCCAACACGTCTGCGACGGCTGGCTTGCGCTCGACTACTTGGCCAGCAACGCATCAGTGCTCAACCTGCTGCTGATCAGCTTCGACAGATTCTTCTCAGTGACACGGCCGCTTACGTATAGGGCCAAGCGAACAAGAAGAAAAGCGCTACTGTTTATCTGTAAGTGAACGTTTTCAAAGTCAGTAGGTCATTTCCCCCGTAAATTAAGAGAGGCGTAGAACTCATGAAAAGTAAAAACACTAATTTGTAATAGTTTATAAAGTATATACCGTATTATCAATTTGTGTTAGATTGATGAGAATATTACCACATTTGACGACATAACCCGTAACATAAGTATATTAGAAAAAAAAGTTGGCAGTATAGCATATATATTCTAGGGGCGGTTGTAAATTACACCGAAATAATTAGGTCCATGTAATATATTTGGCGATTGCTCAGAAATATCGTCCACAGCTTTACGTTTGGCAAAAAAACTCTTTTTTTTTTGTGTGGCGGCCGTTCACATTTTTTGCTATACATCTCCACTTTTCTTCGCTTTAAGAAAGTTCGCCCGAAAAACGATATTTTAATTAATTAACTCTTCCACGTTTGCTAAAATTTCCTCAAGATCTGGTAAGTCATAAAGTTATGTAGGAAATACTTTACAAAAAGTTTCCATGCACAATTTTTTACCCTATAATACCATACAATAACATTTGTGGCGCAGTTTACCACCTAATTTCCGAAAGACATCGCCACATCTCTCTAGTTACTAGTATCATAGTAGTTCCTACTAGTTAATTTCAGCAAATAATTCAATTGTACTACTCTGTTAAAAAAAAAAGATTCTACGGATTCGATATTTGAATTTTGAGCATAAGCATTCCATTGGCCTAATTAAACAATTTTCTAAGTACAGTATGACGATTTTACAGTAGAGCCTTTTAAAGTTTTCCCTTTACTTTTATTTACAATACTTAACTCGCAACTTTTATGTATTTTAGCTCCTGAAGTATGAACTATTTTTTTTTTTTACTACGATTTGGCAAAAATAAATCTTTCTATTCTTGTTCACATTATACAGTAAACCTTTTTGGCCGGAAATGTATTAAACATTATTGAATTGGTGCAGACGTATTTATTCTACGAGATACGCCGTGATTTAGAATTATAAGCAAAGTGTATCATGAAAACATTTTCGTTTTAGTCTTGGCTGCTCTAACCTGTGATGTTATTGGCGACTATAAAGCGCGTACTAAAACGTGGTAAAACAACTGGCGTTGAAATTAAATTGAGTCGATCGCGTTAAATTGTGTTCCGGCAGTATGGCGGCTTAAACGTCTTAACTAGACGACTTATGGACCGTAAAGAATATGTCGTTAGATTGATTAATGCGTTCTCGTTTGACGGGCTCTAGCAGAAAAACAGTACCTGTATAATATGTGTGTGTGTGACCATGTAAACCGTGGGAGATGGTGAGCGAAAAGAAGGAAGGGACAAATGAAGAACGTTCGACCATTCGTTGTAGTGCTTTGTATGGTTTTTGTTAATTTTCATTAAGTATCTGTGATTTGTATTCTAACCGGTCGGGCACCGAAACCGATATCCATTGTCGTTTTATCCTTCTGCTACGCCGATTTATATTTTACCTTTGTAGAAATCTAATTAGACCGGTGCACTAGTAACGTTTTTAAATTAGTATCCGGTATGGAATTTCGATTATTGGCTTACATAGAAAAAAAGTAATCATTTCGGATCTGCTGTCAAATATTATGTCTTTCGCATAAAATCTACACAGATTTTCAATATTTTTATAGTAATTCTGGATAGAAAAAAATCAAGTTTGGTCACTTTCCTATATAAAAAAAATCCAGTTGACTTCACGCCACAAAATAGATAAATCAGAATAGGCACTGATAACAAATTACACGGGCAGCATTTGCCGCCGTCGAAATTAGTCCGCTATCTTATTGGAGGAAACATCAGTTATTATATATATATAATCAATGATAGTACAATTCCTCCAACAAAATGGCTACCAATTGTTGTTTACATTAAAGTGTCCAGTGCCTGTTTACACTATATAATACCACATTGCGGTATGTGTTTTATAGCGGCCGTGTGGTTTATATCGCTGTGTCTGTGGCCACCGTGGATCTACCTGTGGCCTGTAATCGAAGGCAGGCGAACCGTACCCGAGACACAATGCTACATACAGTTTATACTCACTAACCAATATATCACTTTCGGCACGGCCATACTGGCTTTCTACACGCCGGTGACGGTGATGATCGTTCTGTATTACCGCATTTATATGGAGACCAAAAAAAGACAAAAAGACTTGCCTAATTTGCAAGCCATCAACAAGCCTCACAAGTAAGTGCGGCCACACAGTTTGCATTGCATGGCGGTCACATATTGTTTTGTTATTCTCGACAGCGATCAACAGCACGAAGACTCTTGGGGTCGCATAAGGTCGGATCCAAGCAACTCGTTGGACCGAAGGGAACTGTACGAGTCAAGCTCATTGCGACAAGCGTACTCGCAGTGCTCACTGGTAATTATTTGCATACCTCTTTGCGGTTTGCACTTGCACCCGTGTACGTCGGCAACTGTAAACTTCTTTTACGGTCTCCTGACCAATTACTATATCTTGACTTAGCGCACCGTGTCCCTCTACCCTTTCAATTGTTTTTTTCTCGAGGTGGTTTTTTTTAGCGATTTTTACAAAAAAAAATACCTCGGACGTCCGCGATTTTGTGATTTGTAGAATTTTTACATCACACTGGTGTTCACAGAAAGCCAGACGGCTGCTGACGTGGTCGTGGTTACGCGACTGGTGCGTAGACTGGTGGCACTCAGGGCGTGATGACGAATACGACGAAGAAGAAGACCAAACGCCCAGCGATGTGCCGGGCGGCATCGGTTACGGGACCACGGTGTCCAGGTCGACATCATTAAATATCATCCATCAGCAGCCCACCACGCCACCGCCGCTGAAGTCCTACCACGCGGTTAACAACAACAACCGGTTGGCGAACAGGTCTTTGTCCAACGACTCGGTGAGCGCTAGTTGTACATCCTCGTATAGTCTAAGTCAGGTAGCAAAACCACAGAGGCCATTGACTTAGCTTTTATGACAAAAAAAAAAATCACTGTTTTAATTGCAAACAATTTAGCAAACTAGTCGGAAACTAAAGAATATAGTGACCCGCAATGAGTCCGACATCGTCTCTCTCATTATATACATAATTATGACAGGGGCATACCCCCTGTCATAATTATGTATACTTTTTACTGTATAAAATCTGACAAAATAAATTTAAAAAATAAGCGTGCTAACAGGCTTGTGACGTACGTAGAAATATTGTCGAGGTAAACATTAGAGAAAAAAATGGAAAGAACTTCGAGAAGTTCGAAGAAAAAACAAGTGAATTGCATTGTGGAATCGTGTATAAGTGCACTTCTATACATCACCCTTGGAAGATTAATAATATTCCCTAAGATACAACTATTCATTAACTCATATAAGTACCTGTTAGCATACAATTTTGGTTTTAAAATAATGAGTAATATTTCAATATTTCTGGCATCTATTTTAAATGTTTAACGTTGGCACTACGGGAACTCGACACCTTTTATTGTCACTATTACGACAAAAGGGTAGCTGATTTAATAATACAGCTGAGCAATATAGTTAAAATTCACTTACATTTTTCTCTTTCTTCGTTACATCACACAAAATAACGGGGACGGCGCCACTTAAATCCTCGCCTTTCATCCGAGGAAGATAAAAAATATCCATCACTCTGTTTCCGCCCAACGTTTCCATATTATGTATCCACTCCTATAGCCTACCTCTTACCCTCACTCCCTTCTACGTTGACTTTCCTTCACTATTTTATTTTATTTTTTTCTTCAAATCACCCAAGTCCCGAACCATCTAATTCTCATGGTATTCCTTATATCGGAGTAACTTTCGAAAGGTCTCTATACACATCTATTTTTAAATAAATCTAAATTATTAGATAGGCCATATAACGTTTATATTTTTAATCAACCTGCAATCATGTTAAAAATAAAAATAACATTGGTTTTTACTGTCTTGTGTAAATTCACCGCAAAAACGATGACGCAAATGAATATTACATGATAATTATTTGTAGTTTTTTAATTTTTTTTTTTGATAATCCTGTTATTTCAATTTTAGGCGAGGCTGGCGCAACGCAGAAAATCAAAAAACGTAATTTGTAGACAATGGGGTTTAATAGTTTATAGGGGACGTGCTAATTTTCTAGTTAGACGTGTGATTTTATGCAAATCACGTGCTAACTTTTGGTGTTATAAAATGTAGAAATTTTTTTTTCATATGGTTGGGTCTAACGAAACGTTTCTATTTATAAATTAAAAATATTATCCGCTATAAATCAATCCAACGATAAATTGGACTGATACCATTTGAATTTTTCTAGTCTGTAAAATATGTTTTTTACCAAAATACACAGCCTCTAGAAGTCCATCCAGATCTTACTACCATTAATCGAGCAGAGCCTTGGCAGTTTTCAGTGGCCTTTAAGGGACTGTCTTGAATTTATATAATTGTCAAGATAAATTGTTTTTACAATATTTCGATATGTATGTAAAAAGAGACCGCCTTTTATCAGATCTTTAAAAAATTCCTTAGAATTTTTATACAACGTAAGATATTTATTATAAATATTGAAAAAAACTTATTCGCATAATCGTGACTCAAGTGCAATTTTGTTTGTACTACGAATAATTTAACATAATTTAAAAATAATATTCAATAATAATTTATAATTATAAATGTAAATTTAAATGGCGAAAAAGATCACGTATATATTCTCAAATATGTTCTAACTAACGACAATGATAACTAATAATAATAATGTTTGTGTCAACATTTTTGAAACGACAAAGTATATAGTGACCAAATTAAATAATATTGATGAAGTGTCAATATACTGAGATAATTTTATATAGGTAATTTAACTTGATCGCTAATTTCGTTAATATACTTATTGGTTATTGTTTGTCAAGGTGTATACTATTGTGATAAAACTGCCCGGCGACTGCGATCACGACGTGCCGACAGTGAAGCAGTATCACGGTTGTTACGAAGAAGCAAAAAGGAGATCTGGACAAATGGTTCAACGGCCGTCGCAAGACATGCGGTTACCGTTGAACGCGACCAAGATCCTGCCCAAGCAGTTAGGCCGAGGGCCCGCGGCAGCAGCGGCGGCGGCGGCAGCGGCAGCGGCGGCGTACACGAACAAGGAGAAGAAAAAGAAAAAATTTCAGGAGAAAAAGAGCGAGCGAAAGGCGGCCAAAACGCTGTCGGCCATTCTGTTAACGTTCATTATCACGTGGACGCCGTACAACATACTGGTACTGCTTAAGCCGTTGACGGCGGCCTCGGACGCGGCCGGCAGCACCGTTGAGTCGGATAGCAACAAGGGATGGGTGACGCAGGGCGTGTGGGATTTTTTCTACTACCTGTGCTACATCAACAGTACCATAAACCCAATGTGCTACGCCCTATGCAACACTACGTTTCGCTTGACCTACCTAAGGATACTCAAATGCAAGTGGAACACTAGGAGACATCCGCCACCACCCCACTTTCGGCCTTGAAAACGTGATGCCTGTACTTTAAATACCGGTCGATAGGTGTATAATTATGTTTATGTGTGAGTGTGTGCATTTTTTTTAACACTTCACAATATTGCTACTACAATGACTTCATTGGTAGCAAAAAAAAAAAAATCATTTGATACAATATTGACTAAAATTCAAAGAAAAACTTAGGATTTCACAATTTTTCTTTAAAAAAAAAAGGGTGTATACAAATGATATCAGTCTTGGGCTGTATTCAAGTTAATTAATACTGTATTCTGAACAATTTTCAAGACTATTGTATTTTCATAAAAAGTAAAATTTTGTTTTAGGTATACTAACCTACTAAAAATATATGTTTTAATCGGTATTAAAACTACCTATAATAAAGTGAAATAATTATTGTGTAAAATCATATTAAAAACAATTCACATGCTTTTTTAATCGGGCCAATAAAGTATAACAATAAATTATTGACAACAACATAGAAGACTGAAATAAAACGCAAATTACGTAACACGTCTTTTTTTTTGGTGAAAAAATAAAATAAAAAGATGTATTTTTGCATATAAGAATATATATATTTTTAAAGGCTTTTGAGTGAAACACAGCAGATCTAAAACAGATTTTTTTTTTGAAAACAACAAAAAACAGACGACTTTTTTCCAGAGAACTATAAATACCTCGTACTTACTACTACGGTTCTTAAATTGACTCAAGTGTTTTACCCTAAAGCTGATAGGCATTTTGTACATATTTATAATACATTTAAGTATTTTTTGTAAATTGTGACGTGCCTTGTAATTACACCCATTAATAATGATCAATTATTTAGTATTATCATTATTATAAAATTAGCTCGTAGATACGAATAATACAACATACATTTTTTATCGACCACGAATAACCAGGTATTCTAAACACTTTTTTCATGAATTTCTAAAACATAATTAAATACATTTTGTTTCATTTAAAGCTACCAATAAAGATTGTAAATTAAAAAAAAAAGTTTAGCATATCTACCTAAAAAATGAATTTGCAATGAAACTATTGATACTAAAAGGACAAATTTGTTTCCCCAAGACTGAATAACATAATTATGCCGTTATTAATTTAGAACCTATTATTATATTATCCAAGTACACACTCACACATGACATAATATAAATGTACATGTGTTTATTATTAAATAATATGTAGGAGGCGACGATATCAACTGTTGTGGGCTATGACAGCATGCCGATCACGGTTTTGGTATCAGCCGTTTGATACATGGAAAGAAAAACTGTAAATTAATATTATAAAAAACTATCGGTTTGACGGTTGGTGACCGGAGCTAAGTGACAGCCGATGGATATACTGGGTATACTTTCCTTTAAAGGAAAATCGCCTAAAATCGGTATAGTTCCCAAAAAGAACAACAAATTATAATAACGTTGTGTATTTATTAAGCTCGGTTCGACGGGAGGAAACAAAAATCAGGTACTAAAATCATAAGGACAAAAATATTCATTCAAAATACCTTACATCATCCGAGCAGGCTGCGATAAGAAATGTACTGTAGGCGAATCGCTGATGATCGACAGTTTTTTTCCGTATTTATTGACATCTCACTCGTTTATTATTATTTTTTTTCTTTCAAATTTTTAACGTCACACTAAGGTGAATTGTCCCGTAGATTTGTTTTGGTTTTCTTATAAATAATATATTTTTGTCTGCAATGGAACATGTACCTGTATCCCATTAGATTTTAAGCGTTTTCACCGTGACCGAGCTAACAAAACCATACGAATTTTTCAAGTATTTACATAATTTAAGTATAAGTATAATTAAGCATAAATATAATTGTATTATTATTATTGTGTAAGAAGATTATTGCGTAAGTTTTAAGTCATAGTGGTCACTTTTTCACCGCCTGATGCAATGCATAGTGCGCAAACATCAAATCTATAGGCGGGACTATTGGGATTCAGACGACTATGACTTGAACACCTTCGATAATTAATTAGGCCCTAAATGTATTATAAACGTATAATATTTTATTTTGTATTTTTTTTTATTTGACATTTATATACTTCAAATGTATTCATTAAATTCGTTTGTCCACGAATCTACTGACTCTGGGACGAGTGTTTTTTTCTTTACTCAGCGACATAACAGTTGTCCACCATCAGCAACGTATCAAGTATTCATAACCCATTTAGCTTTTCGTTCGTTGGTTTGTTACGTGTACATGTAACGTAGCGGCCGAAAGAGCACAAAATCGACTGGACGGTTTATACATTACAGCTAGTAACCAGAATTCAGGTCCTGTAACGGCTTTAGCGGTTATAACTAGGTTATGTGCTCCAGGAAACCAAGTTGGAAGTCAACAACTTTGTACGTCGAACGTTGGACGCATAAGCTTAAATGTATAAGGTAGAAGATTATAATTTATTTGGCACTTATCCATTGTTCCAGCCTCATTACTAGTGATCTTATGTTCATATATATTATATTATATTATATATATACATAAGTGCGAAAAGGAATGTAGTACACAAAGGATAATAGCTGAATTGGGTATTAAATGGAGTACAGGGTCTGTATTGTGTATAATATCATATACTCGTAATGTTGAAAAAAATGGGTCGACAAGCATGCACTTTTCACACAATGAGCGATTGTCACGAGTGACATTTTTTTAATGGCTATATTCGAGCATAATGAACACCTACAAATCGTATTTGTAGCGAAAAAAGAATAAGGGCGACTCTAGCTGTTGAACTCTATTAAAAGAATAAAAAGTTTAATAAAAGTATATGCATGTATACTCGGCTCAAAATAAGATCATGACCGGGCGGCGGACCGTTTAGTGTATTAATTTTACCTCTTTCTTTTCAAAATCGAGAAAAACACCCAAAAAATGTATGTATTTATTTTAATTAAAAATTACGGTGTTATATATAAGGTCAAAGGTCACCAAAACGATCTTGTCATAAATATCTGACTTTCAATTAATCAAAAGATTAAAGGTTTCAAACAAAAGTTATATAGGGAATAATTATCTACAGAGAGAGTTCCTATGACTTTCGTGTGTACGAGTTATTATTATTGAGTTATTTCCAGTTTATTTTGTGTTAAATACAATTTACTGTTCTAGCGGTATACGCCTTGTAGTGTTAACCTTTAAAATGACGAGTATATAAAAATATAAACATGAACCACAGATAAAAATAAAAAATGAATGAAAAAATTAGTACAATATGATTTTTACAATTATTATTATTCTTGTAACTAATTTCTTAAATTTAACTCATTCTAACTTATTTAAAATGATTCCAACTATAAATCATTATTTAGTATATTCATTACGAAAAAAATGTATTCTTTATTTTCTCTAAGATCTAAAAATGACCTATTTGGATATCATATTTTTCATAACGAGCAAATTCGTTTTCCAACAACTTGAGTCTTGACTTATATTAGCTTTGTTCCAACATAGTGTTATAAACTTTCTGCGCATGCGCAAAGTCAAAGACGTGTTCCAGCAGAGCAAATAGAAACATTTAACAAAATGTTTTTTGTTCCATCAGCGCTGCAACATGTTGTCAAGTTGTTGGAAACAATCATTTTTTGTTGGCAGTTTAACGTTCAGTCACAAGTTTCGCGTATGCGTACAACGCGATCAGTTATATCAATATTGTTATTATCTTGTATATTTTATTTTATCATGTTTTCTCAGTTGACACCACGGTTATAGATAATCTATCTATAACCGTGGTTGACCTCGTGATAATTGATAATTATTCAATAAACAAAATTTATGTTATTTTGGCGGTAAGTGCAAAACCAAAAACCTAGGTTAATATGGGTTACATCATGGTTAATGGTAACAACAACAATCGCCGAACACTGTTCAAGCGGATTGTAGCTGCAAACTTGTTATTTTAGGCGCATGCTCGTTCAGAATATGTTGCTATAGCCGACTAAGAAATAATGTTGAAGTCAGGTAAACGGCCGACTTTTCTTATCAAAGAGCCCATTGTTTACATTATGAGTAATGATAATGAAGAGTTTCATTATAAATTATCATAGTAAAATTAGTTTTAAGAAATTTTAATTCAGTACATTTGACTTACTATAATGATATAATAGGTAGGTTCTTAATGTACAAAGCTCATAAAAGTTTCGCTCGTGCATATTACCTATGTACCAAAGTTTTTACTTCTGAATAATTTTTTTTTTTTTTAACTAAAATATAAAAAAATTAAAAGAAAAACTTTTAATTTATTTAACGATTAAAAATACAATTTGAAATAAGTAACATAACAATAGAAACTTTGGTAATTAAAACATATGAATATTACAAATGATGTATTTAAGTATAATAAATTGATATATACTTAAGCGGCATATACTTAAGGTCTGCTGATTTATCAGAAGTCCAAAAGTGTAGAAAAATGATATGTATGTTTGTGTGTCCTTTGAACTCGAGAGTAAAAAACAAATGAAATGTCTAGAAGTCAATCTGTACATATTAAATAGAGAAAGTACCTATATTATTTGACTCTTAAATTATTTACGCATTTATAAAAACTCACTTGGGGCAAACAAAATTTTTTAATAATTCAAAAAAAGTAAAATATAGTACTAACAGGTTTTAAAAAAGTTATATGGCAAATTAGGTATAACAGAATGAATAGCACATTTTTTTTGTTACACAAAACATAAGTTGACCTAACTCAACCAGTGTAATATTCGAATTACAGTACAAAAAATATTGAAAATGCATCTTTAAATATTTTACATCAACAATCATACAATTAAAAATTTGCAGTTAAACATGTAAATTAGTTTAATAATTTTCTAAATGAGTTTGTAACATCAACAATGTGTTCTGCATTCAATTTTACATTCTTATCATTTTTCAGGACATGGAAATCAACAAACACTGTAAAAAGTTAAATATATTATGCGTATGTATTATATTTGACGTAAGTTGTATATTTTGATTATGTATAAGAATTTAATTACACATACCAATACTGGTCTCTTCCAATGGTCATAATATTTTGCTTGTATCGTATAATCGATTAACAGCCCAATGTCGCAAAACCCATCTCAAATTGGTGAATCCTCTGTAGAGGATTTCTATCATTGAACACCAACACAGACAAATCAAGTGTTCAACATTAGAAAGCAAACTATATGTTGATGGGCACATCAGCATCAAAATGATGAATAGCTACTGAAACAAAAATTATGATCAATTAATAATCTTAATAAAATTTGATTAAATACTAAGTAATTGGATGTTGTTGCAAATATATTGAGAAAATAGTTTACACTGTTGAAACCAAATTGATCGATATTAGTTACGAATGTTCCCAATGACATATCGCATCCAGAAAGAACCACGTGGAGGTTTCGATCATTCTCTCCACACCGTCCGACCGTTGTTTTGGTAAAGCCACAACTATCGGACCTGCCGACCGGTTTCCCGTAGGAACACCTATCGCAGGTGGGTTTTCAAGAAAACACCACCTCACCGAGTACTTACATAGAATGCAAATACTCGGACCGCCTTGTACAACAGACATAAATAGGGAAATTACTATTCTAGTACTTCTCTATAAATAATGTTCTTTGTAGTGTACTTATCGTCAGTTCCAGCTCTAAACCAAACACTAACCGAATCTGAGTTGCGAACCTTTGAAAAGGCAACATATAGCTGACCGTGTGCAGAAAACTGGAGACGCTTCACGGAAAAAAATACATAGTTGGTCCAACTAAAATTATGGTTAATATATAGTAACACAATAAATTTCTAGTTGGAATAACTAAATAAATAGTTGGCCCAACTCAAGTATAGTTGCTTCAACTAAAAATTTATTGCGTCCCTATATTAACCATAATTTAAGTTGGTCCAACTATGTATTTTTTCCCGTGTAGTAAAAGCCCAACTCGGTCATAAATGGTATGACAGAAATGACTACTTCCTCTTGTTGACCCTAACACAGTCTAGCCTTGAAGTTGTACCTGCGCAATTGGATAATAACCATTCTTGTGCCATTGCACAATTGTCTCTTTGAATCCAATTTGCGAAGTAATACGACAACGCCACCGAATTTTAACGTAAGTCTGTACGATGGCATTCCATCAGGTTCAAGTGTGTTTAAGACTATTGGCTACCGGGCAATTTTTAAGGAGTTTTGTATAGGCAATATTTAAGAAAAAGGGGGTTTTAATAAATTTCGGCCATGTCAATTAATTTATTTTGTACAAAGCTTCTTGGATTTATTTTTAATTTAAATAATTTTGCCTATTTTGCCTATTTTAGTTAATTTGTCCGTCAAAAACTACCCATTCAACTTCAATCGGACCGATCATTGTATTGAAGTGATAAGACTTCTGAAAACAGATTTGAATTTGTCATAAAGTCTATTTGAGATCGGTCAGAGTACTTTTTTGATAGCTTATTCCTACTATGTATAAAATACGTTTCAACATTATACAAAATTCCTAATTTTAAAATCAAATTTGGAAAGGGTTAAAATTAAAAATTGAAAAAAATACTCTGACTGATCTCAAGTAGACTTCATGCTGAATTCAAATCTGTTTTCAGAAGTCTTATCGCTTTAATACAATGATCGGACCAACTGCAGTTAAATGGGTAGTTTTGGACAGAAAAATTAGCCGGTACCCAATAGCCTTAAGAACTCGACAGAATAATTCGCCACCTCGTCGGGGGCGTCGGCTACCACCGTATCCACAGCATTGTACACTCTAACTTGTCCCACAATACGTTGCGTGACTATAGTTTGATTGATACGCCTGCAGTCGTCGTTTCTCGGACACAGTTTGATTTTCCGAGCGCATTCTTCGATGTTATCCAAAGAAATTTGCGGTGCATAGACGAAGTTTGTGATCAACTTACGCACATACCATCCGAGGAGGAATTTAAACACAGTCAGGTATTTTGCCCACGGAAGGGAAATCTTCGTTGCCTAACTGTACTAACCAGTCGGCAAACGCAGCGTCCCCCCCCCCCCAGCATGTATATTACGCGTCAGGCGAAACTGTTGCATCAACGGCCACAACAAATTTTGCTTGAATGTAGACTTCACATCAC